AGTGCTGCTTTAAGATTTGTAAAGTGAGCAGAGTTGATCAAACACCTGAAGATCTAACTCATGATTATGCAATAGTTTGTTGGGTTTTGCCCTTCTGGGGATATATTAAAATTTACATCTCTGTGCCTTTCTTTTTAGCCCTCAGGGTAAGTAATGCTCTATCAGCCAAAAAATACACTACACCATGAATTGTTCTATTGTCTTGTCAAACACTCTTACAAGTTTTGATTGCTCAAAGAAAAGGTGATATTTCACAGCAGATTAATACTAGGGTTATTCATTAAATGGAGAATCGAGAAGAGAATTTCTTATAATAGCTGAAATAGTTGGATTAGTGAAGAACCATATGGTTTAAGACTGGCTGGACGCCACTGGGACTCTACTTGACACATATCTGCTGTGTTTGATGTTAGCAGATGGCTGTGAGTGTGAGCTACATTTCATATTATGCCAGTTCTTAAGGCTGACTGAGCACCAACAGGGAACTGCAATTCTCAATCACCTGCAGTATCTAAACTTTGCAGATGTTTGTGAACCACATGTATCAGAAAGGTCATTGTTAAATACATATTATGAGGACTGAAGTTCACAAGAATCTGCATTTGGTAATGTATGCAAACAAAGTTGTGAACTATATTTCCCATGATGCTCAGCTAATTTTTGAAGGGATGTTCTCGGCACTGCAACTCTTCATCTCATTAAAGTGGTTATAGTCCCCTAGTGCCAATCTTCCACTTAAAATTAAAACATTTTTAATGGTTTAATATTAAATAAGAGTTCCCAGCAGTCCATCTCTTCTGTTGTCTCATCTGCGTTGCTTGTGCAAATGAGGAGGCATAATCCTAAGCAGCAATGGACAGCCGTGATTGGCTGAGAGTGTCAGATGAGTGCTTGCTAGCCAGCCTTCGCATAAAAAATTTAAAGGAAAGGAAACAAAAAAAAACAAGGCTAAATAAGACTCCCATATTGCTATAAGGGAGGTTTAAAACCTCAGAAACCACCAACACGCCATGCAGACATTCGGGGCATATCGGATAAATATTTTTAAACTAGCGATTGAGAAGCAATTGCTGTCCAGGCACAAGAAAGGTGCCATCCCACAAACATATTCCCGAACCCTATAGTATTAATAAAACTATTTATGCCCCTGGCTCCCCCTTAAATAAGGTAAAACTCACCTTTTTTCAGCACCGCGTAGGTCCACCAGCGTTGCCCCTGCCCCCAATCTGCCTCCTTGGCTGAGATCATTACAATTGACAATCTTAGCCAATCCAATGCTTTCTGATATTAGTTACAATATTTTCGCGGGGGACCAAGTCATGGACAGTGGATGGGCACTGCAGACAATTAAACAATGGAGGGGTGGGCATGCCATTGTCCACTCCCCAATTAGTTGGATGTCCCCATCACCCCCCTTCCTAGCCACCCCCCATTAAAAATAAATAACCTTACCCCTCGCCCCCTATAATAATAATAGTGAGAAGGGCCAATAGGTTTTAAAAAAAATATACTTACCATCAGTCTTTCTTCTTACTCTTCTTTTTTTAGCCTCAGAAAAGGCCAAATTAAAAGGCTTTGTCACAGATTGAGTTTTCATAATAGCAATTTTCCACACTATGCAATACGGAGTAAGAACTATGTTCTCTCCATTATTTTACAGACCCTTTGGCTCCTCAGTCTCTAGTTTTTATTGTTTAGTAGATATGAAAGATTGAAAATATTTTTTAAATATATAATATATAATTATGTACAATATAGATTTCTTTATTATGTGTTTTTTTTTTTTATATCACCCCTCCTGAGGACTGACCACATGCATTTTACTGGCTGGTTCTTTTCCTAATAGTTGATATTTTCCCATTAAAAATCACCATGCATGTTGTTAAGACCCTTCCCTATACTTCAAGGATTTACCCAAGCTTCCTTCTACGACTAAATCACTGCTGCAGAGCAAACGTGCACCATCTGATCACTCAGTGAGTGATCATTACATCTTGTGTCCACCATTGGTTATAGCAGAATGAGGAATGGGGTCCCCATTAAGGGTATCACTGTACTGAAGCATGAGGACCATCATTGTACATATGATTAAGTGGTCCAATTGCCCAAAGACGACTGTTAACGGTGCAGACAGAGACAGCTGCACTCTTGCAGTAAAGGAGACACAAAGCAGAGAGTGAACGGTTCCTGTAGCACTCTGTTTTACCCACATTAGCTTCATAATATTCAGAACTGGCAGCTAAACACAGTTCTCTGAGTTAATTCGGGTTCTGAAGGGTTAATGTGAAATCTTGGTTGATTATGATAACAGTGCTTTCATTGTCACCAGAGCTCTGGCATTTATGACCCTGCCTCCTCCCACACCGTCAACATCTCTAACCATAACTCAAGTTTTAGAGTTAGCTAGAGTTATTGTTAGGCTTAGCTAACCCTTGGGTTAAGATGTGTGGAAGTATAAATATAAGTATTGACGTTAATGATAGAGTTAGGGTTTGGTGTAAGTGTTAAGGTTAGTATTGGGGCATTAAGGCAATTTGCTTTGTGTTATGGGACATTAGTTAGTACTTTAACCATACCAAAATAAAACCAGGAGAGAATAATTATTATCTTCACTGTACTGCTCAGTGCATGACTACCATGCAAAATTAAATGGTATTTATAAACATGTAATTGTTTTTTTTTGTTTCAAAATGGTTCATAATCTCTAGCAATAAAAAAATTAAAACATCTGCTCATTAAAAAACAGGAAAAAGTCAACGTAACATTGCAGAAGAATTAAAAAAATCTAAAAATGTACGGTTATTTAGAAAAACAGGAGAAAAATAATTGGTTTGGCAGAATCAATTTGTCTGAAAAAAAAAAAATCAGTGCCGGTGGTCTAAAATTGTCTTATTGATCATTTCAGTTTGGACAAATTTCGGAAAAATTATTTGGATGAATCAAAAAGGTGCGAAAATGGGCCAATTAGTGATGAACAAAATATGGACACTATATAATTATGTATTTTTCTTTCAGTACACTGATATGAGCATTTTCCTGCTATTTGGTTCACAGATCAAGTCACCAACAGAGGGTTTCTACTGCTCCTGATTTTTTCTGTCTATTGGACACGTTAGTGGCTGTTCTCTAACCATCAATCATCTTTATTCTCAGCAATCACAATGACTGGAACTTTGAATCACAAATCAAACAAAATGGCTTGTCCATTGTCCATCTCGATTTGATACTTTTGGCAATTTTGTGGTGTGATTTGGTCATTTGGCTATTCAGAGTTAGGGAATACAGACCAACTGCCAATCACCCAAAATTTAGATGAATTTCAATTTGTTTGAAACCGAATGCACAACTCTATCAAGATGTGTGCTTGTTTTTAAAGCAGCTCAGAGGCAAATGAAAGAAAGGCCATGTGTGCTTTATAATATTAATTTAAAAATAAATCATTATTTCCTTTTTTTTAAACCCCGTTAGGGTGAATGTTTAAATATATAGCATGTGATGTTTTTCTGATCCATTCAAACAGAACTGAATAGCATGAATTTCACGATACAGAAATGGTAATTAAGCTTAGATTGATTTAGCTGTTTTTCAGAGAGTGGAAAAATGCTAATTTCCTAGTTTAGCAGTAACATGCACCTGTTACCTTTTACAAGCTTGGTAATAGGGGATAATAACCATTATCGGTTTGATTGAAATAAATAATATATTTCCTTTTTTTTCAAACTAATAGGGTCCTTTATTATATATAGCATTTTGATGTAGATCTGATCCAATGTCTGAACTGAATAGAAGATAGAATTTCACGATACAGAAATGGTAATTAAGCTTAGATTGATTTAGCTGTTGGAAAAATGCTAATTTCCTAGTTTAGCAGTAACATGCACCTGTTACCTTTTACAAGCTTGGTAATAGGGGATAATAACCATTATCGGTTTGATTGAGATATAAATTATAACTTTTGCTCACTAATTTCCTCCTTTATTACATATTAAATTTTGCTAAATAGATTTGTCCAAGGAATATTCTGAATATGAAGAGAAGATACCAGATGATCTTAAGAAAGTTTCAGCTTTCAACTGAAATCCAAAACAAATAATTCCAACAATGCCTACACTATCATAGTATATAAAAAAACAAAACCACAACACAGTGAATGAAAATAAAAAGAACTTAAGTACTATTTAATGGGAGTTAAGCACACAGCTTGACTGCTCTGATGTAGCATGTTCCATAGCTAACGTATCAGTTGACGGGGCTAGAGTTTGTGATAATTTTATGTTGTTCAAGACTTACCCACATTGATGGAATAATAAAAATAATTATCATAATTGTCATCCACAGCGAGGAAACGATAGCAATTATATCATGTGTATTAATATTGAAATTTTGATTTACACGTCAAAGGCCCTGATATTTCATTAAACAAATACCATCAATAAATGTTGGAGCAAAATTAAAACACAATTATAATCAACATGTATTCAATATTCACTTATTTAGATACTTTATTTATGATCTATTTAAACATGGAACCCATTTTTAAAAATAAACAATCACGAAAAAAACAGAGCACAATTATTTCTAAATATATTTAACTTAACCAACAAATTCAGAACAGTTGTCTCTAAAGATGTGAGACAGAGGCTTGAGGTTCACTGATCCTTGAAGAGGCTGCAGGTGCTTCCTTTCAATAAATGTCCTCAGGGAGAAGGTCTTCACATAAAACACGCAAAATACCATTGTTTATTAACCTAATTTTTAAATATTGTTTGAGTTTACAAGTTATTATTCAAAGTTATTATTCAAATCCATGCTCTATATTAATGGGAATAAACACATGCGAGCGCACTTTCTAAGGATTTCACATATGGATTGTGTCTTTTAATAATCTGAACGCGAACAGCTAATTTATAAATATATAAAAATAGTAATAGTTTTGTTACTATAGGATATCATAACAGAGCATGTTCATGTTCTTCTAAATAGTTTCTCTGGAATACAATTTATATATTTTGCTTTGATGTGTGTATGATTTTCTGCAAACTTCTTGTGGTCAGAACATGTGGTGATGTCATCTACGAATCGGGTATATGGGGCTTATAAAAGCACAAATTGACATCCTCCAGTTCACTTACCTAAGTACTTTCAAAAGTAAAAAAGTTCCATACTGTCAACCATCAAACAGTCAAACTGTCTGCTTCAAAGAAGAAAAACTCCAACCTCCAGTCACAGAAAATGCACTGGCAAAAATGTAAGTTATATTTTAATCGAATAACTAAAAAAAAACTAACGTTACATAAATTAAGGAAGTAAAGGTTTTGGTTCATTAATATTTCTTATTGAAAGTAGATAGGCAGGCATAGAGAAAAAGAAAGACATATTAAAGAGATATTTTCTGCAACATTACTATATGAATTATAGAAACTAATGTATATGGTAGAATCATATTATAAAGCTAAAGTGATTTTTACATTTGTTGTTTCTGAGATGTTCATTGGCACACTCATGACCTGTCCAATTGGGTCTGAGAGCATACTTTGAACGACCATTTGGTTACTGAAACCAGTCTAACTATATAATGATCCATGATTTTATTCCTAACGATATACCCCATAGATTCAGGTAGGATTTGCAAGTCATCTTTGTTTCACAAAACTAACAAACGGCATGGTTTTAATAAAGGTCCCTTCTAAACCCACCTGGATCCCTGGGTATACTGTATTCTTAAACAGGCTAGTGATACTGATAAGACTGTATTGTTTGGAAGATCTTTCTTTTCCCACACTTTGGTTTTCTGTGGGGTATTAGTTTGGGATTAATTGAGTCTCAGAACAGGGATAATTGGAAAATTTGCCATTCATTGTATTTGTATCTAATTCAGTGACCAAAACATTTGTTTGTAACATTTTTGATTTGGAGAGGTGTTCCACTTCTCTCCAGTGACCTACATTTTAAAAGTTGGTTCTAAACACAAATGGCGAAAACAAAAATCCCATACCTTCCAAATCATTTTAATAACAATGTGTTATCTGATTGCTTTAATTAGAAGAATTGTTGAGCAATGTAAAATCAGTGGGAGGATGTTATGTGAGGTTACACACAAGGTAATGAAAACACAACTCAAAAGTAAGACATTGTTATTAAAAAGGGATCAGCACGGGTCATATTTGGAAATAATGCTCTAAATGGAAACAAGGGGCGTCATTAAGACTTCCTTCCCAAATCACAAAATAATACTTCCTCTAGTTCTTCCTAAAGATGAAATATTTTGTAACTATGCACTGTTAAATATTGTATTGTTAAGATGCAGTTCCTTGTTTATGCTTGTTCTTCAAATGTTCTTCTTTTCATTCCACTTCCTAATTATTCTAATATTACAAAATAAAACCATCTGGGCTATTCACAAAAGTGTGAATTGTCTGAAATCCAAAGTAACTGGAAAGGGAATTTCAAAAGTTAGGCCAATGTAGCCAAACTAAAATATTCTACAATCATCCATGTTTTAGGTTTGGCTATTTTGGCCTAAAAATTTAAACTTGACTTGAATTCATTAGGAATTTCTCACAATTCACACTTTTGTGAATAGCCATTCATGGATAATATTTGTATTTAAAATATGACCTCAACAAGCAAGCTTTTGGTTTATCTTTCTTGACAAAAGCTATTTCTTGCTAATGATTGTTTGTTAGTGTTTTCTCGTAGTTACCAGTATTTATTTTGCCTCTGTATTCCTATGATATTTACTATTTTCTGAGTGGCATGCAGCTGATGATACAACTCAACTCCCTTGTCCTGTGTTCAAACTTCATTCCAGCCATGGTCAAGTAAGCTTTTCAGAATTTCTAGGTGGATAAAATATATAATTTAGATGCAGAACATCTTGAGTCATACGTATTATAAAACTACTTATTCAGTTATAGCTGAGATCATATCCTTAAATCCTTTGAGCACTTTTAGAAAAGCCAAGTTACAGAAAAATATTATCATTATTTATAAGTAGTGATGTCGCGAACCGTCCGCGAACTTGCCACGAACGGTTCGCCACGGTTCGCCACAAACCGTTCGTGGCGAACTCCGGTCAGCTGACACATCCCTGCCAATCTCCGGCAGACCCTCCCTCCCAGACCCTCCTACTTCCTGGACAGCATCCATGTTGAAGGTAGCTTCAACATGGATGCTGTCCAGGAGGTGGGAGGGTCTGGGAGGGAGGGTCTGCCGGAGATTGGCAGGGATGTGTCAGCTGACCGGAGTTCGCCACAAACGGTTCGCGGCATCACTATTTATAAGTTATGGTTGACACTTCATGCCTTAAAAAAATACAACAAAAGTAAAATGAGAGAATAATCTGTAAAAATTGTGTAAAAATTAATGAACCTGAGAATGAGAGCAGATACTTACTTCTTTCTCCATGGAAGTCAATAATTTTGTTATCATGACATTTTCCTCTGGTAGAATTCTGGATATAAATACCACTCGCCAATTAGTGTGATATTTATGTCTATTCTCCCAATGAACATTGTAGAAGTAGAAGTAGATAATACATATCTGTGTTCAATTGAAGGAGTGGATGCTCACAGAGATGGATTAGGAGTTTTATCTTTTTTTCTGGAAAAATGTTTTAATTTTAGTTTTTGTTATATTTTCTATTTTGTCACAATTTTGTAAACTGTAAAATGTTCCTTGGCTTCCTTTGAAATAATTAACGTGCAGATTTGTAAAATCTGTAATATGCAAAATATGTCTTGTGTCAGTGGATCTTATGTCAACAAAATTGAATTTTATATGAGATGGTCGATATCATGAAAGAAGAACAATCCTAAATATAAATATGACATTAAAATAATATCCACTAGAGCAGTGGTTCTCAAACCACTCCTTATGGCCCACCAACAGTCCAGTATTTCCCTGTTTTATTCCAATGGAGATACTAACAAAACCTGGACTGTTGGTGGGTCTTGAGAACTGGTTTGAGAAACGCTGCACTAGAGCATAATGAAAGGATTAAGCCTTTATTAAGGAATCTCCATTATTAAGGATTTTTTAAATTTGTTTTCAAGACAATTTATTAACCAGTTCCTTTTTTAAAAAAAACATTATTACCAAGTTGTTCATTAATATTTAATCGAAAACAGCATTGGGTGTTCCTGTTGATAATCAGTGGTAGAAATCAAAATTAAAAAAATTATACAACTTTTTTTATTTTCACATCCTTTGTAGAGATACTGAAGATTGAAATGTTTTAAGAGATGATATGGCATTTGCTAGCTTGAGATGTTTTCGTCACTTGCGTGTAAGAGCCCTCTGATTGATTGGCTTTACAAGACAACTAATCAAAGAGTTCTACTGAGATTTTAAACCACGGGAAAAGCTTTTATAAAAGCTGTTCCTGCAAAACCTCAGTCTGTGTTGGAATCTTGGCAACTTGTTTTTGTTTTTTTAAATTTTTAACAGTAGCTTCAGGATGTAATAGATTTTTGCATTTGGCCTTTTTTTGGTGCTGAAGAAAAAAATACTATAGACAAAAGAAGACTTCTAAAGGTAATTATGATTTTTTTTTTCTTACAGGTATTAGATCTTTTGCACCTATCAATATTATTTGGGTGAGGGGGCATTTTGGTTGGGTGACTTGGATCTTGAAGTATCTTATCCAGCAGGTGGAGGGAGTGTAGTGGTGTATTGGCCCTAACTTTGGGTGGGTGCTTAGACAATAGCTTGGCCACTCTCTGTTGATTATTAAACATCCCCCAATCTCTGCCTATCCCTTGTACTATTAAGATTTTTTATCACTATTTGTCATCTGGCTGCCAGTGCAGGCAGCAAACAAATTGTTCTGGCTTGGATTTTCAAAATCCAGATCCATATTTTAGCTGTCCTGCACTTTGGTCCATCTGAAATCCAGACCAAATTAAGGCTCATTAGGATTATCCTTCACAAAATCCAGACAATATTTTGTAGTCCAAAGCTCCCCATACAGCAGAATATGGTTTTGTCCCAGTTGGTGTGGGACCATTCTGACTTTAGTAAATAAGCCTTTAAGTCTAATGTCTATGAAGGTACACTAAATGGTCAACTGGAATCTAATATGCCAAACCGCAAAGATACCACTGATGGTATACTTAGTCATAACTTAGAACTTCGATCTGCAGGTGAAGCAATAGAGTCAGACATTAAAAGCAGAGAAGGAGCTGGTGGTGATATAGTGCCAGGTGATGAAGAGGAAAAAGAGTTTGGTGGTATGAGTGGAGAATAAGTATGTGCTTTAGGTGGAGATGCAGATGTAGTTGCACTTACACACTAATGTATTGCAGAACTCTTCTATATATTGTACTCTTATTGTCAGACCCAGTCAAATATTACTGTTGATGTTTATAGTGTGTTTTGAAAACCAAACTAATTGCTTTGACCAATATTTTGTTTTACACCATCTGAGTATGTTCATGACTCTCCTTGATGCCAGTAATATTACCAGACAAGTCCAGTTGCCTTGACCAATAACCATATCGAGGACCAATCTTGCTACTGCTTCTGATTTATGCCCTCAGTCCTAGTTCTTACCATTCTTCAATGTAGTCTGTCCTTGATGTGCTTCTTGCTCACAAAAGTCTCTGGCTATATTCCAGCAGCTGCAGAACCCAAGACCCAAATGTGTATATCTAAAGACAGTATGATACAAACACTAAGGCATGTATGTTACAGAACCCACCTTTTATTAATTTAATTTCTTTTAACATGTGAAAAAGGTAAGACAGGAAGAACAGAAGGTTCTAAACCAAAAACGTAAATTAAAAAAAATGATTACATTCTTAAATTAACAACAAAAAAGGGTAAGCACTTATATAGTTTGTTTAGAAACAAAGGTGTAGGCAGCAATACAACCAAACCAGAAGTCTCTGTTCCCGACCAATGGTGAAAATAGTTCTCTCAAGAAGAATGGAAGTTATGCCTCAGATATAGAACAGATATAGAACAGAAAATAAACAGAAAAAAATCCAGTGGTGTAGTATGCTCAGATGATGGTATGCACGTGATGTAATAGTAAGGGCTTCTATTTACTTCATACATAGTCCACTACGTGGGCATCCTACACCAATGCATTGTTTCTGTTGTTTATGTTCCATATCTCACAGATGACTGACTCAAAAATTCAAGATAAAGTTCATTGCTGAATTTAATAAATCATTAATTAATTAAATATATTTAATGAGTATAATTCATTAATTAAGGTATACTCTAAAGTTAGAAAATTGATGATATATATACACACTTAAATTGATAATATATACACACTGGAATAAACCAATATAGTTTAGTAGAGACAGTGCATTGTGAGTCTACTATTATAACTCCATGTTAACTAAAGAGAGTCACTGACCACATCAAGAAGTTAAGTGCTGAGTTGCTGTGTCTGAAAGTCCAAACAAATATACCATCCAGAAAAGTAGGGCAAGTAGGAGAAAAAAGGAAAAAAAATCCAAAAATTAAAAAATATCTAAAAAAATTTACAAAAAAATACAAAATGGAAAAAGTAAGTATATACAGTCCCAGTGTGTACACACTATAGTATATGGGTGGATCTCACCAATAGAAGAGAAAGTCCAGTAGGCCAGTTCTCCTTATCTCTTAATGTAGAGGTTGAAATCCCTGTAGTTAGTGTCAATCTATTCTTCATTTACTTTTTCAAGTTGTCCTGGAGGTCCTAAGGTATGTCTTCTTATCAGCTGGTCCCGAGTCTCATGGGCGGGCTGCGCGCTCGGGATCTAAACACATCCCTTCAATGGCCCTGTCAGAAGAGAAAATTAGTGAAAGTCCCATACTTTTATGCAGTTCGGCGTGCCCGCTTGAATGCGCGGGTCGCGCCTAGATGACGTCACGACGCTTGCGTCCGCAGGTCGCGTCTGAATGACGTCATGGCGCACACGTCCGGTAACTATGCCCGACGTGTGCCGTTTCCATTAAGCAAATCCATATTCCTGCACTATTGTGTGTGTTCCAATTCACTTGTTAAGTGCAATACATACAAAATATAATAATATATATACACATACAATCCTTTACCTTAGTCTGCATGTATGGTAAAGAGCAGGTTCCCTAATGTATATTTACATGGGAAAAGAGCTATGTACATTGAAACAAAAAATCATAAAATCATATTAACATGAAGTATTTAGATAATTAATTATTATAATAGGATTCTTAAACAATAAAGGAATACTATTCATATTTATAAATACTCAAGGGTTAAAGACATATTATATACCTGGTTAAACTGATCAAGAACAAAGCTACTAATCATTTTCATGCAAAAAAGTTAAAGTCATTAACATAAAAGAAGTGTGGCTCAGACTGAATCCTTGCCTTTATATTTTAAAGTTTAAGGATCAATAAATCTAAATATTGAAGCTTATCTTTTCCAAAAATTTTTTTGAGGAAAAATGGCAAAAATAATGGCAAAGAATAATATTGCAAGGAAAAATTTTTTTTTAAAGAAAAAAGATTTTTAAGAATTTTTTTTTTTTTAATCCAGGAATATAACCTTAGTGTAATTCCTGGATTGGTTGGCATAGTTATTCCTCGGATGATGAGAAGCTCTTTGCATACTCGTCATTTATTTACTTCAGATAAATGTTGTCATATTGTGAGAACCATCACTTCAAAAAATGTCACAACAGAGTCCAAGAAGTGAGAAGTGATATAGGCTTGAGATGTAATAGAATTGCAACAGATAATTAGCGGTAACCATTCACCCATTCAAACATCAGATTTTTATTATTATATATTTGTTACGCATACTCACAAGCAGTGTAATGTGTGGAAAGTGCCTGGGGTTTCCCACATGTTGGACCCCGTGATTTCTCGGGTAACGGACCAAGAAATGGTCAACCTCTTTAGTAGCTTTTAGGGAGTAAAAGAGACAGGCCTGCCATATAGTGTCCCAATGACTAACCGTGGATATAAAGTAATAAATTAGCCCAAACTTATGGACCAAAAAATAAAAATAAAAAGTTTAAACAGTATTGTAGTATTCTAAATCATTCTACAAGAAATGTTTAAGGTCATAGTCCTCATTCAAGCCATCCGGGTGGAGTGTTTCCAAGATACTAATCCACTTCGTTTCTTTACATAAAAGTGCTTTTTGTCTATCCCCACCTCTACACAATGGTTTAACACCATCAATTACTTGAAAACATAATTGATTGACATTATGACCTTGCTGTAGAAAATGCCTCGGTACTGGTTTGTCACATGTCCCTTTTTGGATGGCAGCTCTTATGTCCCTGTTATGTTCTCCTATGCATACTTTCACTGGCCTGATTGTTTCCCCAACATAGAGAAACCCACAAGGGCATTTCAGAATGTAAACCACATATTCTGAGTTGCATGTGTAATATTCAAGTATTTTAAAGGGTTTGCCTGATCGTGGATGTACAAAACAATCACCCCTGATTATACTGTTGCAATGTATACAGCTTAGGCAAGGAAATGTGCCTTTCTTAGGTTCAGAGAAAAATCTTCTCTGTTTCTTGTTACTGCCTTTATCTGGGTGCACCAATTTATCCCTAAGATTCTGTGCCCGTTTATACGAAAATAGGGGAGGATTCCTAAATTCAAGTTGAGATCGGCCTCAAAGATGTTCCAGTGTTTCATTATGATTTTTTAACGGCATTAACGGCATTACTGTAAGGTGTGTATGGTGATATAAATGGAATTCTTTGTATAGTGTCCTTATTTCTTCCTATGGGGTTAAGCGCTTCTTCCCTATCCATATCTAAGATCCTAGTTCTGTGTCGTGTCACTAGTTCTAATGGATAACCCCTATCTATAAATTTGTTGCACATGAACTCCATCCCTGGTTCCACACGATCTTCCTGTGAGATTATCCTTTTCACTCTCAGCATTTGGCTAAATGGTAAGCCATCTCTAAGATGTTGGGGATGATAACTAGTGTATTCCAAAAGATTATTTCTATCAGTGGGTTTCGTATAGATGTCTGTGTGTAATTTATTGTCAATCAAATGTACCTGTGTATCCAGGAATGGAACCATGTGTCTGTCACATGCCATAGTGAATTTGATGTTAGGGTCCAGAGAATTCAGTTGGTTAAAAAAATTGTCCAACTGAGCCCTCGTGCCCCCCCAACATACAAACACATCGTCGATAAATCTCTTCCATGTAAGGCATTTCTCAAACAGTGGAACAGCATATATGTGTAGTTCCTCCAGCTTATTCATGTATATATTTGCGTAAGTGGGGGCTACATTCAACCCCATTGCTGTCCCTTTGATTTGCCTATAAAAGTTGTCTTCAAAGAGAAAGTAATTCTCAGTCAGGACAAATCGTAGTAGTTCCAATATGTATATTTTGGTATCTGAATATTGGGCTAATGTAGGATCCTGCTCTAATGTCCACTCAACTGCTCGTAGTCCCCCTATATGATCAATTGCTGTATACAATGATTAAACATCCAACGTCACCAACCAAACTTCCGTGGAATGTTCAATATTGAGGTTGTTAATCAATTTTAAAAAATCATTTGTGTCTTTGATATATGATTTTTGTTTTGGAACGTACTTGATCAAGAATTTATCTAACATTACTGCTGGTGGTTGTAAAATAGAATCCGTGCCACTAACAATGGGCCTTCCTGGTGGGGTCTGTAAATATTTGTGTATTTTCAGGAGGGTATAAAAAACAGGCGTTGTTGGATATTTCCTATGCATATATTTATATTCTCCCTCTGTGATAATGCCTTTGTCCATGGCCGCCCTATTTAATGTCTGTAACTGTCTGTAACTGCTGGATGGGATTCCCATCCATAGGTTGATAACTTGATATGTCATTTAATTGTGATCTGATCTCTTTGACATAATAATCCCGATTCATGGCCACCTCGATACTTTGCACCAATACGGATAAAAGAGTGCCTGTTAGTATTTTTCCTATGGACAGGCTGAATGCGCACGCTGCTCTTGTGCATGCGCATTCAGCCGGTAACGGAAGAAGAGGGAGGAGAGTCTCCAGCGTCGAGGGAGCCCGGCGCTGGAAAAGAGGTAAGCGATTAACCCCTTCCTCCCCCCTCAGCACCACGGGAGTGCCAGGAAAACGAGTATGTTTTCTGGCACACACACTGGCGCACACACACAGATACACACACTGGCAGATACACACTGGCACATAGATACACAAACTGAGAGACAGATCACACACCTTGACACACAGATACGTACACACATAGATACATACATACACAGAAAAACCTTGTGTGTCAAGATGTGTGTATCTGTGTGTTAGTGTGTGTATCTTTGTACCAGTGTGTGTATCTGTGGGCCTGTGTGTGTATGTGTCAGTGTGTATCTGTCAGTGTGTGTATCTGTGTGCTAGTGTGTATATGTGTGTCAAGTTGTGTATATATGCATGTATGTGCCGGTGTGTATCTGTGTTTGTATGTGCCGGTTTGTCTCTATGTGTCAAGGTGTGTGTATCTGTTTTGGTATGTGCCAGTGTCTGTATCTGTGTGTCAAGGTGTGTGTATCTGTGTCAGTGTTTGTGTATTTATGACTGAGTATGTGTCGTGTGTTTCTGTTTGGTAATGTGTAAATATATACATGTACAGACATTCCAGCAATCAAACACCAAAACAACACATACTCCTGCAAACACAAACATGACATAAAGACACCCCTGACCTCTAACTCCAAAATTATATACAAATACTACACACAAATGTAAATTCACATTTAAAATCCAACACTACATCCAAATACACCTCTGCACATAAATGCTAACATTCCATACAAACACACCCTTGTATTAAAATGATGAAATTACATACAAATACCAACTCTACACACAAAAACACACCTGCTCCTAAGTACTGCAATCTATTTACTATCTCTATAAATTAGTGTGTGTATATATAGAAAGAAAAAAAACACAATTTGCAAAAAAAGTAAGACATTATGCTCTGCTAATTAAAAGGTTTATGCAACGGTGTAAAAAAAATTATTTTTGGGGGTGTGGGGGACTTCCACGATGAAGACAACCCCGCCAAATTTGCGCTGATGCTCTGATCCCTCTCCCGCAGTGCCAACATGTCTCTAAAAACAATTGATGCATATGATATTGGATCTGAGGGATTCTAGAACACCTAGTCAGTAGTTTATAATTCCGCTTCTAAACTTTAGTTGAAACTGAGCTCTGGTGTATCAAATTAAACATTTTTATCCACTAGGCTTCAGAAAGAGTATGCCCAATCAGAGGCTGTAACACAAAGAACAATGGAACACCACCTACCAGTTGGGGTGCAAGGAATCCGGCTACACCAAAACTAGAAACATCCAGAAAAGTACGTTGTGTTGAAGCAGTGTGCCTTCATTTAAGAGCCCATAGTTAACAAATCATTTTGAATGCTTGCACTTTCTATGTCAAGCTAATACATAACAGTCAGTTAGAAGTATTGCTATAAGCACACAGAATCATGATTATAATACATAAGTGTAATAAATCACTGTAATATTCTGAATGACATATTGCCGAAATTTGGGCATCCCAAAAAATATTCTATTTTCAAAAAATATAATTAGTCTGAACCATATTTTCTCACCATGCACATGTTTAGTATGCATATCCTTAATATTTTATTAAAATGCATACATACCCACAATATGTTCTTCTTGTGACTGAGTCACTAAGTTACTAACCACTTTTTTTGAGTCAACTATTTCCTTATTTTGTTTTCATTAATGCAATGCTGGTAATTACTTTGCATCTCCCAGAGGCTACAATCCATATTTTAGATTCGGTTTTGAGGACATCACCTTTCGGAATACCATCATACCTGGTTGACTCTTGGGTAACATGCTTATTTTACTCTTTTTTTGTTATAAAAATTACATTTGTGGGTTTCTTTATACAGCTTATTGCTTAGGAATGTGTGATTAATGTTTAATGTTTAAAACATATCAGAGAATGCTATAGTCTTCCCTCCCTGGTTCTGCATTTCTTCTGGCAAAAGTGACCACGAGCATTTATGGATCCTATGATACCTTCCCATATCTGTTTCTGAAAAAAATAAACCCAAGTCTGTTTTATTTTTTAAAGATTTTTTTTTCCTCTATATGAATAATATTTGCCCAAGGCAAAGTACAAAGTGCACAACTGTCAACATTTGAAAGAAAAAAACATTGCAGGTACTCTTTTCATAAAAGCAAGAACGCTGGTTACTGGAACATTGACCACAACTAATAAACTGTTTCCACAGCCCTGCCCTTATTGCCCCACCCAATATTAGTAGGCTAAAGATCATTAGATTAAATGTAAATATAAATAGAGGGGCAGACTGAACCCCTTAAGCATGGTACAGAGACCTGGCTGAGGAAGGGGGCCCGCTGCCCAACCACTCTGTCTGTGAGGCCCTGTCACACCTAAATCGAAGCGGGCGACTCGAGTCTGATGTGCAATGGTTTCAGGGAGTCCATCGGGTGGCCCATGCACATAAGACCACCCAATGGGCATGTTTGATCAGGGGCCAGGTCAGGCACCCTGGCCCTTTAACAGGGTGATGGAGAGGGGGGGCACCTGAGTTTTGTCATGCCTAGGGCAGCACAGAACCAGGATACACCACTGATTGTACGCCGTACTGGAGACCGTATCTTCAGAAGGATATTGATACTTTAGAAAGAGTTCAGAGAAGGGCTGCTAAACTGGTTCATGGATTGCAGGATAAAACTTATCAGGAAAGGTTAAAGGAACTGAACATGTATAGCTTGGAGGAAAGACGAGACAGGGGGAGATATGATAGAAACATTTAAATACATAAAGGGAATCAACACAGTAAAGGAGGAGACTATATTTAAAAGAAGAAAAACTACCACAACAAGAGGACATAGTCTTAATGGTCTTAAATTAAAAAGCAAAGTTTTAAAAATAATAACAGGAAGTATAACTTTACTGAGATGCTAGTGGATGCATGGAATAGCCTGAAGCTGTAGACACAGTGAGGGAATTTAAACATGTGTGGGATAGGCATAATGCTACCATAGAAATACAATAAGACCAGGAATTAATGAAAGTATTTAGAAAATTGGGCAGGTTAGATGGGCCAAATCGTTCCTATCAGCTGTCACATTCTATGTTTCTATGTTTCAAGGGTATATGTCTATATGTGTGTTAGTGTGTGTTTATGTTTGTATGTGTATCAGTGTTTGTATCTGTATGTGTGTCTGTGTGTGTTTCTGTGTGTCTGTGTATCCACGAGTATCAGTGTATAGGTATATGTGTATATATCTCAGCATTCAGCCTAAAGTGAGAAGTGACCAATAAAGGGGAAGAGAAAGAGCAGTAAAAAAAATCTGCATTCCTATATTATATATTTAATAACTGGATATAATCTATAAATATAAATGTTTTACTGCTCCTACATTTCTCTCTATTGGTTACTTTTTCTGACAAAATGGTGATAAAATGCTCCTATCTGTGTACTGAAAATATGTACATAATATGCGACAAACATATTTTGCAGTACAATGATCAGCCCATTCTAGTGCCCTTTTATATCTGTCCAAATGTTTCCCCAAATAGATGTCTGGCCAAGTCGAGCTGCCAGATGAATGAGCATCGGACATCCTGACCAAAAATTTAATATCAGGAAAGACTATTTGGCCGATTCGAACAATCTCAACATCCGTACCTTGAATTTTAAATTCATGTTGAATTCATTCAGAATTATTTCAGTCCCTGACGGTAAAAAAATCCAGTAAACATATTTACTTATTTCCTTATATAATATATATTCTAATACACATGCATAGTAAGTCATGTAATGTTTATACTATTATACAAAGAATGTGAATGGTGAGAGCACACTATATAACTTTACCCTTATTGTACATAAAATCCCATGGGAATTTTTTTCCAACACCAGTACTTCTCGGTGCTTCTCTGTCAATTGTCCAATCCAAAACTCCTCACGCATGCAACAAAGCTTCTCTTTGTTGAACAAAAGACACCAGCACATGGATGGAATTGTTGCATATGAATGATCAATGAATGATAGGTATGGGTCAAGTAAACCTCAGAACCAAGAATAGACATTGAAAAAGTTTGATCATTCATATGCAACAATTCCATCCATGTGCTGGTGTCTTTTGTTCAACAAAGAGAAGCTTTGTTGCATGCGTGAGGAGTTTTGGATTGGACAATTGACAGAGAAGCACCGAGAAGTACTGGTGTTGGAAAAAAATTCCCATGGGATTTTATGTACAATAAGGGTAAAGTTATATAGTGTGCTCTCACCATTCACATTCTTTGTATATTGGTTTCTTTGTTTTATGTGATAAGTGACACACATTGGTGATTGGAGCACCTAAGTCCTGGACTTATTAACCTTATTTTTTTATATTTTACTGAATGTTTATACTATAGTCATCATTTTTTTAGAGCCTGAACATTATTTATGTATAAAATATTTTACCAGGAAGGATACATCGAGATACATTGTTTTCAAGTATGCCCCTGGTCCACAAAACATTGCTACATTGATACAATTGATACAATAGGGTACAATAAAATACAAAAATAATATTAATACACAATATATACAAAATTTAACATAGAACAGGTAGGAAATATATAATCAACCATGACAGGTGCATTCTGTTTCGAGATATGTGGAGTGGGATCTCTTAAAGGACTTTAGGCTTGGGGAAGATTTGAAAGTGTGCGGGAGGTCGTTCCATAATTGCGGTGCTCTGTAGGAAAAGGAGGATCGAGCTGCTTTCTTTTTGTATTGAGGTAGACTAAATAAAGTCAAGTGTGACTTCCTGGTGAGACTGACAGCCAGACTCTGCTTGTGTGTGTAATGGTTGTGAGTGAGTCTTTTCAGTAGGAAGAGCATCTAATCAAAGATGCAGCCATACTCTGCGTTGTGGTCAATGGCTGCAGTTTGGAAAGGAGTTCACCATATAGTTCACAGTTCACCTGTGCCACCATACACATTCTTCTAATCAGGAACACTGTACATGACTGTACATGAGTGTGTGAATGAAGGCCATTTATGATGGCCATTTACAGTAAATAAAGATCCTGGTCTGGCAATAGCTCGTAAATAGTACAAATAATGATTTGCTCATATATATTTTCAGCTGAAAGACATTAAAAAAGGTTTTGTTTTACCTCTGATGGCATTCCTAGAACATCATGTATTAATGTTTCAGGATATCGATTAATAGTATGCGTTTTCTGTGGTTTATCAATTCATTTTTGGTGTTCAACTCAATAAGTAAAAATTGGTTCTCTGAATGTGTTGAGAACTCTTCCCCAGAAAGATTGTGATCACTTAAGCATGACTATTTAACGTAAGTTATAGAGTCCCTTTTTTACACGACAAATAATTCTATAAGTGTTGTCAGAAATATCAGAATGGTGAGATCATGAGATAGTGATCGCATTGGCATCATTAATTCCTCAATGGCAGACATTTATGTTTCAATAATTACCAAACAATAGATTGCAATTTACCTTTTTATATTTTAATCAATAAACATAATTGCAGGGATTTGCATTTTAACAAATACATTGAAGGGTAACATTCTTTTCTTCTAATACATTTTTAAATTATATATTCATTTAAAGTTCTCTTACAATGGTTCAGCAATCACAAAGTTCAATGAAAATGAAACTACCAAATTTCTAATGAGAAAGTCAGGTGACATTTCATTCTAAAATATAATATTCATGGTGGATTTGATTGTTAATTGAATCAAACTGTCATATAATTATCCCTAAATTACAATTTCTGTCTCTTTAACTATATGTGTTATTTCCCACAAATATATCTTTGAATATGATTCTCTTCAATGATTGTCCTTCTCTGCTTGTTGTACTTTTCCCATTTCCTCTCTTGTGAACCTCAATCCTATGTGCACCATTCCCTTGTGCCCTTGTATCCATTTTCTCTTTTCTAAGACATATTCATAATTTGTTTCCTCCTGTGACTTTGTCAAGCTTAATTTTGAATGTGTGCCCTTACCTTGCACTTGCGTATACCTGGTGACCATTTGTGTACTATTTATTGCCACCCTCTGTCTACATTGTGATTCCTTGTGTGATATTACTGTCCCATTTCTTTTCATCATTTAACAGGATTTGTACCCCCTCTTTTTATCTCGTAGACATATTTTTGCATCCTTTTTGGTTTAACACCCATTTGACCATTGTTCTTGCATGATTATTCTGTGTGTGGACCTGTTTGGTTCACATGACTTTGACTTTTACAATCTTTTACATTCATCTTTCATTTGTAACATTTCTAGCATAGAGTGTGTCAAATAATCACTTGTTGGTAACTTAAACAAGTAGATACTGTGGATCTTTTCAGTGTCCAATCCTACGTCGAAGATATTTGGTGGCCTTTACATGACCTCAGTAAGAAACAACAGATTAAATACTGCAGGTACACTTCCTTTTGCAAAACGAATGCACATTGGATTTTGATAAGTTCTCATAAAAAATATTCCTCGGTAACAAGTAAAAAAAAATGTATTCTTTATTTGGTGTTTAAAGAAAAAGTTGCACATAAATCGAACATTATGAAAAAAGTAAATATATCAGAAATGTATAATGTTGTGATATGTGACATATGTGGTATCTCTTATAATTTGCCCATAATATGACTGTCACTAACAATATTGTCCTATCTGCCTCAGTGAATATAGTGAAACCTTTATTTGTGTGATTTCCTTCTTGGTGGAGAATATTATTTTGGATCATTTAGAACATTCCATATTTTACTGCTCTTATTATAAAACCAGTCATTCTGCCCTTCCTACCAGGAGTTAAACCATCCCCCAGCATTTCAGATCTGTGGAACGGCGGAGTAAGCCAGATTTAGAAATCATTTGGAACATTTCAAGACTTCAGATGGAAAGCATTGCAGACTTAATTTAATAAGGGTAGTGAATGAACAAAGAGGACATTTACTTATTTCAGTATCAGCAGTTTATCATTCCCAAATTACCCTATATCAAATAAGGTAGTATGCAAGAGGTTTCACCACCATCAATCCTGGAGAGCCTTCTCCACTGCAGCCCTGAGAGTAGACCACTGCTACCTAACATGGAACCCAATTAAATGAATTTGTTATGGTGCCAGGAGGTCCCTGGCACTGTCTTACCTTTGGGGATTGACCCATTCATAAACGGCTTAAGCCCAAAGTCCTATTTAGTGCCAGATCACTCTGCCCGCTCCAATATCTTTCTGCTGGAAAACTTCAAAATGGAAGCCAAAGACAACCACGGGCAAAGGCCCAATTGATTGGTTTAGAGCGGTCTGCTGACTCTCTCAGCCAAACAGTAGATCCGTGTTCACAAAATAACTTGAGAAACGTGTTTAATATATTTTTTCAAATCTATCTAAACACAAAATGTCTTTCTTTTGTACAGTTATGTACAGTTATGTCCCGCCTGTTTCAGATATATCTTATGATAATTTTATTTTGTAATGAAGAGATTGACGGTAAGAGCAACTGTCATTAACAGATAATTACAGATAATTACAGTAAATCCAGCTAACATGTTTACAATGGCAATTGTTTAAAAATAAGAATAACAAAATATCCACTAAACACAAAGAAATCTACAGTCACAGTCAGAAATAAACAGAAGCTCTCATTTACAGTCAGTAAAACAGGAAATGGAATCTCATAGTCTCGCTGGTTTGAAATATGATTATGATTGCAGTTGAAAATAAAGTAATTTCAGTGACAGGTGGAAACATCTTACATCTGGACCAAATAGTGCTTTTTATAATAGTGATTTTTTAACCAGTTTTTTTTTTCTTTTCATTACATGGGATGTTACAATACAAGCTGCTAGGTCCTGTCATTTCAAAGCTTCCCAAGAACGCCTGTTTGTCAAACTTTCCACACCTACACAATTCATTAAATCTTTTTTGAAGATTTTAATCTTTGCTCTCAACGCTGCACTTGTGAATACTAAGAATTGAAATGAAAGATAAATAATGTGTACTTTTATTTAATAATACACAAGTGGGGTTATTTTATGCATAAACTGTTGTCTTTTGTTTTGGAACCTGGATGAATATTCTATGTTTGTAATTTTTTTATTGAAAAAAATAACTATAGTGTTGAATACTAACCAATACTTTAACTACATTCTTTATCATTAAAGGATCACTATAGTGCCAGGAAAACAAACTTGTTTTCCTGGCACTATAGTGCCCTGAGGGTGCCCCCACCCTCAGGGTCCCACTCCCGCCGGGCTGGATGGAGAGGAAGGGGTTAAACACTTTTCCAGCTCAGGGCTCCTTCGGCGCTGGGGACTCTCCTCCTCATTTTCCAGTCATCGACTGAATGCGCATGCGCGGCAAGAGCCGCACACGCATCCAGCCAGTCTCATAGGAAAGCATTCTCAATGCTTTCTTATGGACGCTGGCGTCTTCTCACTGTGAAAATCACAGTGAGAAGTGCGGAAGTGCCTTTAGCGGCTGTCAATGAGACAGCCACTAGAGGCTGGATTAACCCTAAAGTAAACATATCAGTTTCTTTGAAACTGCTATGTTCACAGCAGAAAGGGTTATTCCTAGGTGGACCTGGCACCCAGACCACTTCATTAAGCTGAAGTGGTCTGGGTGCCTATAGTGGTCCTTTAAACTTGGACTTCAGTTGACATTTTGTCTAGTTCTTTCGACCTACCAGCTGTGGTGAAATAACTACAGACAATTTTCAAGATTCCCCTCTTTTGGTTTAAATTGTGCAAGTCAATTGTCAATCTACTACACACTGCTGCTTATTAAATAGACCTCTTAGAACCAGAGAGAAGAGCTGACACTGCGGTCCATTAGGGCATAGATCACACTCACCGTGAGCTATTTTCTATTTATAATAGATCAGTAAATATCTAACAGTTCACTACAGAAAGAGCCAGGGAACTAACAGCAAGTGCAGGAACTTCCATATATGAAAAGATTTTTAATATGTAGAAAAAAAAAATTGTAGACCAGAGGTTGGCAACCTTGGCACACCAGTAGTTGTGGACTGCATCTCCCATAAACTCTTACAGCAATAAAGCATCAATGGAGATATAGTCCACAACATCTGGAGTACCAAAGATTGCCTCCCATGATTTAGGCACAGGACCACTACAGTTTAATATAGTGGTTCTGGGGCAAAGAGCCTGTCCCAGCACTGTTACCTAACACCACCTCTAGTGGCAGTCACCCAGACAGGTCTTCCTGGAGGTAATTCATCTCTGATGAGATGCTGACTGGTGCATTGCTGCAATTGCCACATATGCCTAAAAAATCCTTCCTTATGGGCTGAGATGATAAGCATTGACGCATGCTTGTATCTTTAACATTACAGTGCTCCTTTAAGTTTATTGTTTTGCATATATATTTTGCATTCTATATTCCGTATCTGTATTATCTATATACTGTATGAAGAAAAGGAAGGATATCCCTTTAAGTCTTGGTCAGGAACCTACATGCTTTTCCTTTGAAGCTTTGCCAATAGATAATCTTCATTTAAATGGAAGATCCAGCCCGCATATTACTCACAATAAGAAAGGGGAAGGATGGCTGGGTGCCGTTATTCTGAAGAAAACAGAGAACATTTTATTTATAAAACTAAAGAGATTTGAACAGGGAGAGCAGTCTATCGTGAATAAAAAACCATAACCGATCAAATATTAATTTGTATTGGAACTCCCAGAATGTTTCTCTGAAGTTGATCTTTACTGATATTATAGTAGCATTTCTTGTATTTATGTCTCCCTCTAAATGGACACTCCACGGTCCAAATAATAAAAAAATGTTTTTTTTAAAATCACTGTTTTGTAGATATTCCCCAATAAAAACATTTGAAAATGCATTTTTCCATTGGGGGTTTATTGAAACACAGCTTGCAAAAGCATCAGGTCTCTTGCCTGCTTCCTTTGCAAGCCCTCCCCTTCTAACCCCACCCAGACTTTCTATGGTTGTCCAATCACAGACTTCCCAGTGCAGCTCAATGAGAAGTCTTTGCAAGGCAGGTGCTCTGGGCAATTAGTCACTCTACAGTTTATCTACACTGAGCTAAGGAAACCAGGAAGAAACAGGACCAGTTGTGTAATTAACAGCCAAGGGGGTGTAAATGCAAATTCTGTTTACATTTACATTTTTTATCTCCTGCCTTTGTTAATAATCTAGATCCTGCCTCTTAAAGTTCAATTTACAGAGCAGAAGATAAACATTTTCTAAAGTAAGTTAACATCTGATTGAAGATGAAACCATTTTTCATGCAGGCTGTGTGACTCACAGTCAAGGTAGGCATGACTAGAGCTAGATTGGACAGAAACAAAAAATGATTAACTCCTAGATAACAGAGAACTGACAAGTGAGACTGCAAGGGCATGATTTATACACTAAAACTGCTTCATTAAGCTAAAGTTGTTTTAGTGACTTTAGTGCCCCTTTAACTCTGGTAATGTAATAGAGGTTCTCTCATTGACAACTATAGGGATATCAATTTAAAAGCTTACCTCTTATAATAGAATATTCAGCTATTCAAAACATGCAAAACAAGAGAACAAGGCAGACCATCTTAACATTTTATTTATTTACAAATTCTCCAGCTTATTTACTATTATCCCTGTGCTTCTTGCTTCTCAAATTATGGTCACATTGCATATATGCAGTGGCATACTAAGTGGGGGTGGGGGTCAGGTTGCCCCAAGTATCTATGATTAGAGGAGTGCAAATTGCCAGCATACCTTCAGGTGTCGCAAAGTGGAATCGCAGGGTGACCGGCAGAAGGGAAAGTGCTCCCCTTCTTCTGATCACAGCATGTAGCATGGCCAAGCAGGCAGAGAAAGGTAGATAAGCTCCTGTTCCTTGGCCTGGTCTGACAGGAAATGCACTCAGAGAGTACAGACTGGCCACACTACACAGGTGGTATAGGGGTTGGGGAAGGAAAAATGAGACACATGGAGAGGCTGTGGAGGGGAGGCATAGGACACATAGAGAGCCTGGGGAGGGGGAGAATAGGATACATGGAGAGGCTGGGGGGAGGGGGGAAATGGGACACATGGAGAGGCTGTGGAGGGGAGGCATAGGACACATAGAGAGCCTGGGGAGGGGGAGAATAGGATACATGGAGAGGCTGGGGGGGAAATGGGACACATGGAGAGGCTGTGGAGGGGAGGCATAGGACACAAAGAGAGCCTGGGGAGGGGAGGAATGGCATACTAAGGGGGGGAATGGGATACATGGAGAGGCTGGGAGGGGGGAATAGGACACATGGAGAGGCTGAGGAGGATGGGACACATGGAAAGACTGGGGAGGGGGCTAATGAGAAACATGGTGAGGCTGGGGAGGGAGACACCCATGACCCATTAGACTCTGTATTAGTCTCTAATGGAACTCTTTCCAATGCACAGTTTACATATTTGTCCAATAAATATTGCTGAAAACATTGCAGGTGTTTTTTTACATTTTAAAGATGGGGGGGAGCAGGAGGGTGCCAAATACAGGGTCCACTCCGGGTGCCAAATTCTCTGCATTTATGTTACTGCCTTGATTATCTCTATGTTGTTTGGCTGAATGCAACACAATCAGGGTCATATTTACTTATTTGACCCACATAGGCAACAATATCAACCCCTCCGCCACAAACAAACTGCTAAACGAAAAGAAGTTAATAGAACTGAAGAGAAAATGTTGTAAATAATGTATAAACCATGCACAAAATGTTTCACATTCATCATAAAAAAACTGAATTTAATATAATTTACTGCATAAACAGCTCAAATCTTTAAACCGATTTATGTCTAAAGATGAAATAATGCCAAATTTAGCAATTTTATGATTTGACATTTTCTTTTTCTAAATGTCAACACATTATTCGATTGTACATGAAGTAGTTGCAGGAGAACCAATATTATATTCCTAGTGAGATTTACACCACAAACAGGTGACAATTTCAGAACATCTTTTGAAAAAGAAAATAAAAACTGAGAATTGAAAGTAACATGTGATTGATTGTAAGCCCAAGAAAATAAAGCATAAAACCATTAAGGAATAGAAATATTAGAAAAATGAACATCAAAAAATAAATCCGAAAGCCAGTTCATGACAATTTGTTCACACTTCTACGAACGAAACCAAAATGGTTTCATTACAGCACAGAGTGTGTCGGAATCATTGAACACAAGGCTCAACTTTAACGTGATATGCCCCCGAGTATTCAAATGCAAATAAAAAAAAACAAAATACTAAAAATCTCTAAGTAAATTCCAGTCGTGCATCAAAAATTTAAAATTACGATTGACCCTAAAATTATGATTTTATTTCTCCCTGAAAGAACATGTAATTATTACTAATAGCCATATTAATTATTAAACTATGTATGCATATTTCTACCTATCTAAATGTTAATTACAAAATTTAACCGGCAATATTTCAGTCCTATAAATCTCAGACTTTTGTCAAGATATTGAATAAATATATACATATGGTTCTTTGTTGTACTCATTTGCATATGCCCACCCAGAGTCCCTTGCAGTAGTAACAGCACTGCTAATCTGGGATTTCTCTGGGAAAAGCCAGTCTTGTGGCTTGTTTGGTGTGCGCGGATCTCTGTTTAACAATGTATTTACTATAAAGAGAAAGAGATGCTCCGAGTATTTGCAAGACAAATGTTGTGTTTAAGAAGAGTTTAATGATGCCTCTACTTAGTTAGACATTGCAGATATGGCTTCCACTAAATCTTAAATGACACTCCATTATTTAAATACATATTTTTTTAAATCACCTTTTAGTATATATAGTACAATGAAAACATGTAGGCATTTAATTATGCATCTTTTCATTGGGGGTTTATCTCAAACAGCTTGCAAAAGCTACCTATCTCTTGTTTGTAGCATTTGAAAGCCCTCCCCTTATAACCCAGCCCAGACTTCAGTGGCTGTCCAATCACAGACTTCCTAATGCAGCTTAATGAAAAGTCTTTGCAAGGCAGGTATTCTGGGCAATTGCGCGCCTCTTGAGTTAAGCTCCACTGAACTAACAAAACCAGGATGACAGGACTGATTGTGTGATTGACAGCTGGGGGTGTAACAATGTTAATTCATATAGATAAACATAATATATTATAAATATAAATATTTTATAAATAGGTGAAAATAAGATTAAATGAGACAGTTTAATGGGAGTATGGCAGCCATCTTAGTAGGGGAAAGTAGATGTTATTAGCAGGGGGAGGTAGGGCACGGTGGCCATATTTTGAGGGGAATATTTCAGTAGCTATATACATGTAGTATGAATATATTTATGGCTGCCATACTCCCATTAAACTGTCTCATTTAATCTTATTTTCACCTATTTATAAAATATTTCCCCCCTTTTGTCCCTTACCTACCAGTAATTATATTTATCTATGTCTCCCACCCTTATCTTTTTTTTTAAACTCGGCAAAGCATTAAGTTTTCGCCGAAATTGACAAAAACAACCCTTTAAACTATATTCCCCATCAGACCTTGCAGCCGGTAAACAGAGCCGCGCATGTGACCCAAGTCACGTGCCTCGGCTTTAAACAGCCGAAACTAGCTATATAATGCTCGTTTTTAATATGTAATATGATGGCTACAGTCCCCAAACCTCCTGCTATCAACCCACACCATTATTTATTGAATTTTTTATGTACCAAATTTCGATGTGTGCTGATTGGTGGACAGCCTATGATGCAATTTTGGCATCACTTTTAAACTACCCTCTCCCCTATATAAACCCTATTTGCCAGGTTGTCTGTTATTGATCCATATGATAAAGCCTACACAGTGAAACGCGTTATGGATATTACCTTTTAAGACTTTTTATTTTGAATAAAGCATTTTTGGTTTTATTATAACCCACTGCCTCCTCATTTCAATAATTATACAGATTTCTTTTTTTTTCCTGGCATTTTATTTATTTGTATTTATTTTTAATCTGAAAACCAGCTATCTATTCTACTTTCAAGAACATCCTAGGTGGGGATCATACCACTAACGTTGTCATCACTGAGCAGTGAGTCTGCTCCACGCTTGTGAGTAATATTCTTCTTATTTTATTTAACTTGTATTATATTACTGAGAGCACTATCTGTGGCTATCTCTCTGTCTCTGAGCACCTAGATAACCATCTGCTGTGAAAGACTACGACCATCATATCCCATAAGTGGGGATTATACCACTGTATGCAATATTCACTAGAGCTGGTCATAGCTCTTGTTCATGTGAGTGCAATATTTTTATTTCTTAAGTGTTGTCCGTCTAGCCCAGACATATTGCACTATCAGGTAGCTCTGTCTTTTCTTTTTCCACATACGGAGACTGAGAAGACCCAGACCCTTCACATCCCTCAAGTATAAAGAACAAAGAAACCAAAGCTGGCCTTACTTATTTAATTTATTTAATTTATTTTACCTAGAGACTATTCTAATTTTGTATATCGTATTTCGTATTTTACTGGGACAATATTTTAGTACTTCTTTCTCAATTTGTTTTATATTTTATTCATATTAAATTATGTTTCATATATCAGTATTTTATATGACATAAAGCCCTGTTTCTCCTGAACAAAATGATATATAATGTGTGGGTGCCCATAATATAAAAGAGGTGAATTCTGGTTGAACAGACATATAGCGTAAATTCAAGGTTTTGTTTACGTTTTGTTTTGATCACAACTTGTACAACTGCCGCAGTCCTTAACGGGTTAAGGAGAGGTCTACTAGATAGATAGAAAGATCATTTGTCCTGCTGGGGTACACCTACCAGCTCTGATCTTAACTTGGAGGATGTCAATATACAGACATCCTTTGGAATGCATCTTTTAATCCGTCAATATTATTCACATGAAGGCGCTTCATGATTGGTCTAACAGCAAACAAATGAACCAATGAGAGGTATCTATCTATGCTTCTTCTGCACTTCCAATCACATACATTGTCCTCATCAGCATCATGACTGGAAATAACGAGATCATCATCAGACCAATAGAAGCTGTAGCCATTAGTTGTCTAGCGCCATCTCTTGGTGAACTTTATGTATGTGCATTATGATGAATGTGTCATGTGAATGATAGAAAATTAATACATGGAATGCATATTATTATTAACTTATATGTAGTAATAGGTAACAATAGACAGGAATATTATTGTCAGATTTACTTAATTTATGGTTCTTTTTTTTCTTTCTTTTTTTTTTTTTTTTTAAGAACATCACACGGTCCAATATTTCATGAATGATATTGCAAATAGCAATTATAATAAATTAAAGATGATTCTAGTCAATAATGCTCCTTGGTAACATACAAAAATACAAAACCAATATTTTCTTAGTAATGGAAATAAAAATCCACTTGAAAGGTATATTTTTATTACACTCTACGAGTGTGTTTTTAAAATTTGAAAGCCCTCGAAATATATTAACAACCCTATCCAAATTTCTATGTGTAGATATTTTATTTTACAGTATCTATCTATTGTTAATACCCCATAAGGAGTGTCAGTACTGCAGGCAGTAATAATTATTTATTAGAATTGGAAGAGACGTTTTGATTGACACATTTGTTAAAAACTGGCCAACTGTAACTTTTACAACAAACTTAACATTTATCATTAACGTTTTGTAGTTGTTGAGTTATTTGTGCAAAACAATTAGGAACACAAATGCAGGTACAGGCCAGCTTTGTTTCAAATCTTGGCCATACTTTTGCCATTCCTGTTTAGCCAAGAGATGGCAGTGTAATCTTATATATGTTAGTGCAGTTTGTGACCCTGTTACATTTGTACATATCTTCAACAGCCAGTTCTGCAGTCATGCACAAGAGGAACATTTTCTAAGATTTAAAATGCTTGCTGGTTTACCTGTGGTGCCCCTTACAATTGATATAAATTGCTGCATTTGTTTTAGTGTCAAACTACAATATGTAGATACGTTCTTTGGAAATATGATAAAATACCAAAAAGTGTACATTTTCAGTCATTTAGTCAGCATATGAATGCAAATGCAGCATTACTAGAATTTTTGCATTACCAAATTTCGGTCTGCGCTATTTGGTTATACAGCCATTGTAGCAAGCAACCTACTAGCTGGCTCCTCATTGTTTAGCAGACATGCTCACAATTGTGGCATGATGAGTGTGGGCTTGGGGGAGGTTTAAAAACTGTAATAATTAAACAAAGGGGGAACCTAATAATAGGATATCACAATTTTTAGCCCCCACCCACTGTTTTCAGTTGGGATTTTAATCCTCCATTATAACAATATGGGGCCCCACTGATCCAATAGACTTTTCTTACATAAATGTAGTTGCTGGCTAGCAACCACATTGTTAACACTCACACTGCAGAGGTCTAATCTAACTATTTTTTTCCACTGGCTGCTAACACTGCCAGCAGGCTTTAGAGAGTAAGAGTCAGTTGAAATTAGGTCCCAATTAACATTTTCACCAAATTTAAGCTGAACCAAGTGGACATGTGACCGAATTGGAACGAAACCAATGAGAATTTTGTCTGTGCATATGTCTGATATTTATATCACAGTGTTATCTCATACTTCTGGATTAATAATGATAGATTGTATCTGAAAATAAACAAAAACAAACTAAAAATTCAATAGCTTAACTGACAACTGAGTAGAATTATATCGCTGTGTTAAAATGTTCATCCATGTGTTGCCTGTTTTAGTTTTAGATTTAACAGGAGGTTCCTAAAATGTTGACAAGAGCTATTTCTCATTATTTTAAATGTTGTAAATGGTGTGCATGCTGTTTTATATGTGAGTTACATGTACCACATTCTTTAGCAAATGTATCGAATTAAGAGATCTTTGACAATTCTAGAGCAAAAGGCAATGACACGTAATATAGATTCAATCCATTGTACAAGGGCAGAGTACAGAATATTTGATAGAGTCCTAACCTCTACATCTGAGGAAAGGGATTTAGGGGTGATTATTGCTGATGACTTAAAGGTAGGCAGACAATGTAATAGAGCAGCAGGAAATGCTAGCAGAATGCTTGGTTGTATAGGGAGAGGTATTAGCAGTAGAAAGAGGGAAGTGCTCATGCCATTGTACAGAACACTGGTGAGACCTCACTTGGAGTATTGTACACAGTACTGGAGACCGTATCTTCAGAAGGATATTGATACCTTAGAGAGGGTTCAGAGAAGGGCTACTAAACTGGTTCATGGATTGCGGGATAACATTTACCAGGAAAGTTAAAGGATCTTAACATGTATAGCTTGGAGGAAAGACGAGACAGGGGGGATATGATAGAAACATTTAAATATATAAAGGGAATAAAGACAGTAAAGGAGGAGACTATATTTAAAAGAAGAAAACTACCCCAACAAGAGGACATAGTCTTAAATTAGAGGGACAAAGGTTTAAAAATAATATCAGGAAGTATTACTTTACTGAGAGGGTAGTGGATGCATGGAATAGCCTTCCAGCTGAAGTGGTAGAGGTTAACACAGTAAAGGAGTTTAAGCATATAGGCATAAGGCTATCCTAACTATAAGATAAGGCCAGGGACTAATGAAAGTATTTAGAAAATTGGGCAGACTAGATGGGCCGAATGGTTCTTATCTGCTGTCACATTCTATGTTTCTATGTTTCTGCTGTCTTCTTTTATCGTTGAGTTAGAGGGATTTGGATTATATTTATCAAAGGAAATAATCTAGCAAAACTAATACATTTATAGATTTAGTGATTATCCTTGAGCACCTTATTAAAACAAAATACATTCAATGCAGTATTTTAGTTCATTTTAAATGTATTATTAGGAACACATCAATGCATTTTACGTTGAAGAATAGAATAATATGGTATAATTAAACGCTATAATTGGTGTTTCCTTTAGTCATTGAATTTCCTGATAATTCTATTATCTGGTGTTCTATTATTTGGCATTCGATCATTTCACAAACTGTCATTAGTTATAACGAGCTCTATAGGCTGTGAATGGATTAATTGCATTGTATTTCCTCTTAAAATAAGAGATGCAAAACAGTGTTTGATCAGGGTGTCCAAAGTCTCTTTCTGAAAGGAAATCTTGGATACCTCATTTATCCAACCTAGCAGTAATATTATTCCATTTACAATGTACAATCAGTCCATTTTGATTGGTGCTCTTTCATTAAAGGGAAACTATAGTGCCAGGAAAATAAAAGTTATTTTCCTGGCGCTATAGCTCCGTATATAGTGCCCCCATCCATCGTACTTGCTTCTGTCACTTACCTGATTCCAGCACCAATGTCCTTCAGTTCTGGTTCAAGCACCGCCTCTGCTCCTCCCCCACCAATGTCATCAAGCAGGGGAGACCTAATGGCAGTGCTCACATTAGTTCTTCCCCCATAGGAAAGCAGTGCACAATGCTTTCCTATGGTGTGTTGCATGACGCTGGATGTCCTCATTCTTAGCATGAGGACCAAAAGTCGCCTAACCACCTGGAAGTCTTTCTAGTGGATTTCTGGTAGACAGCCACTAGAGGTGAGGTTAACACTTTAATCATTGGAGTTTATTAAAAACTGCAATATTTACCTTTGCGGGGTTAAGGGACTTGGGACACTGCACCCAGACCACTTCAATTAGCTGAAGTGGTCTGAGTGCCTATATCTTTCAGAGCTAATAGACAATGCTTAGAGGATGAGAAACCAAAATACCTTTATCTTCAGTTTTCACTATGGAATAAAAAAGCTTAGATGGTTATTCACTAAACACCAAACAATATTAAACTGAAATCCATATTGAAATATTTTGGCAGATATAGCTAAGCTGAACAATAGCTATGTTGGGGAATTATAGTTTTAAATCTTGTATTGTTATCTAAATGTTGCAGTTTGATTTGCAATGCGCCAGTGAGGACCTCCGTCCGTCCAGAACCTGATAATTGCAGGTGTTAAACGTAGTTTCCTAGTTCTGCTGATCACAAATAGGCCATGTGTTTGATAAAAGTCATTGAAAAAGTCTAGTTGTTCAGTGGCCCGAGAAAGTATTAATAATTATCATGCAAAGTAAATAGAATGAAGTTTCCGCATTAAACTCTTATGACACGGCAATTTAACATCAACCATGCACGCTTACCATTTCAAAGACTGAAGATAAGGACTGTAAATATTTGTATAATTATTGTTGACCAAAGCTCACATAGAAATACCTGTCACCTGTGGTTCTTCTAAAGAAGTGGTAGGTGTCAGGAAACTGGCCAACTATTAAACTACTGCTTCCGTCGCACTTAGCCGGATTTTGGACCATCCATTGACTTGTTGGGGATTTTGAGCTGTGTTTAATATATGGAAGAATAACTGCTGATGCATATGATTATAAGACCTTTTTAGAAACCTTTGTTACACTATTTTTAAATGCATTATATCACTGCTTGTTAGTAGTGCCTTCAGTAGACTGTGCTGCCTTATGAAGTTAGCCAATCACAGTGCATTCCTGGGCAAGTCTCTTTGCCATGAGGATCGCATGCATTCAACTCTCCTGCTGCTTCTCTGAGTTTCTCTGGGTCTACTTAGAGAGGGAATATCATTATGACTAGAGGAATTGGGAACCCTTTAGCTCTACATGTACTAAGACTAGCGATGGTGGAAAGAGCTATTAACCTCCGCAGTTAATAATGGAGCATGTTAATGTTACTTTAAGAACTACAGAAGAGCTTTGCATTATGGCACATTTGCATGCATGCTCTATCAGGTTAGGCTACCTAGCTTGACAGCAGTTATACATCAAGTGGTACCCTATGCCTAATACAACTGGGGGTAGTATTACCACCAAATAAGCTGACATTTATATGCCTTTAAAGCCAACCTCTAAGAAATATGGACATATGTAGCAGTTTCTATTTCTATATTATCAGAAAACACAATGAGAAAGAGTGAAATTATCAAAAAAAACACAAAACAAAACAAAAATGCCAAGACTGGCAATGTCAAAGCTTAAGCACTGAAATCCTAAAATATGATGTGTCCTTTAGAATGTTAGAAGACATCTGTAAAAATGTGTCTTATTCAAATCCCTTTAACGTAAATAAAAATGTTTATCAGAAGACAGTGCAAAAAAATTGTACAATGTAATCCACAAATTATGGGGTGATGTGAATTCCAAGGTGGGTTTGAAGATTTAAAAATAATTTGCCAACACTTTCTGATAGCATTCACAATTTCAGTTCAAACGCTGGTGGAATGGTGCCAAGAGGTAAAAAATTTATTTTTATAATAGGCTCGGTTTGCAAAGAAAAAACAATACTTGGGTTTATGATGGGAACGCTGCATTTCAAAGTTCAGTTCAATTGCTTATTTACAGTAGTTGGACCTTTAAACTTTAAATGTACGATCAAGTATTTGTTTAAGCAAATCATTTGTGAAGAACACATGGCCACACTTATAAGCATCGGATGTAGGAACGCCTTGCAAACAGTGTTATTTAACTTGTGATAGAATTTATTGTAACCTATTACTTCAGTACTAATTGGGTTCAAAGTTACCATATTATAGCACTACCATCGTTTCTTTCTAAAGGGACACTGAATGTAACATGGCCACATATTATTGTGCAAGAACCTACCTGTCCTTCTTCATTATATTTGCAGGTGCAGAAACTTGCACAAGCACCCTCATTTCAATTGCTGAAATCTAATAGCAGCTAAACCTGTGCTTTTAGTTTCACAAATGAATTGAATGAATTGGGATTAATCCAACTGTTGGGCAATCAGCAGATTGTCTAAATTCCCTCAATGTGGATGTATCACAAAACAAACATCAGAGAGGATGTACAAATTGTTGTTTTATTTCGTTTGTATTTCAACGTTCTGGCCATGGCTTTAAAAAAATCCAAGATGATTGAATGAGAAAAAAAGATGATTGACGGTTAGGGGATCAGACACTAAATGTTGATTTTATTCACAGATCAAAGAGAGATGAACAGAGGCATGGGCAAAAAATTAAGTTCTGTTCGGCACTTCCGAAATTCGGCAATTCTGTACTTCGGTTCGGGACTTCAGCAATTCGGGAATTCGAGACTTTGGCACTTTGATTCAGCACATCCGAAATTCAGGACTTCGGCAATTCGGGACTTTGGCAATTCGGGATGTAGGAAATTCCCTTACCCAAACCCCTATCCCTAACCCTACCCCTAACTCTAACCCTAACCCCAACCCCAACCCTACCCCCAACCCCACCCCACCAATAACCCTATCCCTAACCCCAACCCTGCCCTAACCCTACCGATAACCCTAGGCCTAGCCCTAACCCAAGCCCTGCCCCCAACCCTAAGCCTACCCCTACCCCCAACCATAACCCTCGGTTCGGTTCTGCACTTCCAAAATTCGGCACTTTCAAAATTCGGAACTTCAGCAATTCGGTTCGGTTCGGCACTTCCAAAATTTGGCACTTTGGAAATACGGCTATTCGGACTTTTGTAAAGATCCGAATGTCCGAATTGCTGAAATTCGTCCGAATTTACATTCGGAACTAAACAAATTGCACGTGTCTACTATTTAAATGGATTTCTCAATCTGATTGAGAAACCCACTTTCAACAGGCGAAACACATCTCAGACAGTCAGGAGCACTTTTGGACATTGTTTTATTGGCATTTGGCTTGTTTAAACTTATTTTGTTTTTTAGCTTATTTTATCTTGTCTATCTGTTTGTAATAATAATTGGTATAAGCTTTACAATACATCCTGTGGATTCTTGCAATTGCCTGCTTCAATCTAAAGAAGGTTTGTGTCACTTATTGTTACACTGTTACACTGAGAGCCTAGTATAACTGGCTCTCAAGAAGGTGAGCAGTCACTTGCACTTTACTTCCTGTACTTGCACAAGTATTGATGGCATTACACTAGAAGCATTTGCTTCCTTTTTTTATCTCCCTTTCTGACATCCTCTGGGCCAGGAATAGAAGAGGTCTGGTATCACCTTGGTATACCCCTGCTAATGAGATTTGAGCCTATCCCATGTGAGTGCATTTTATACCTAACATAATTTTGTACTAATAGGCATATTGCACTATATTTTGTTTTTCTCTTGCCCTATTGACCTTATACATTCATCACTCTTCCCTTTTTATAAGGGCAAGTGTACACTCATAGTGCTCCACTGGGTTTACTTATAGTGAATTTAAATCACTTGGTTTACTCTGATTTGTTGCATGATTTGTGTTGTGGGGACTTACACTTGTGTAGTAGCTGCTATTTGTTACGTATTAGTTTTGTATCATTATATAAGTGTCTATATTGCATAGTGTACTTTCTTATTGGTATTTATCCGATTTGCGTGCCTCTGGGCAATATCCAATTGAAATCCGGTTGCCATTTGATGTTTTATATACGTGTGAATCCTATATTCATATAGGGATCACATCTGAAAATGACTGATTTTAAGTTCGACACAGAATGGTACCAACTTAATGTTGCTCATTAGGTATACTTAACCAAATTCTGATAGGATTTTAATTTAGTAAATATGAGAATTGCAAATCCAGTTGAAAGCAGGTTGTTTTCTCATGATTTTGCCCAAAATTTGATGCTTAGTGATAAACTTTCACAGTGTTTAAATGTGCATTGCAGTCATTATTGAGTTCTGGAAAATAACCAAGCACTCTTGTGAAGTTAGTGGCAAGAAAAAATTACTTTTGATAGCACCGTAAACACTTCTGTATTTAAAAACACTGGAACACTGGTATATGCCAAGAAATGCCTTTAAAGAGTATGTTGCAATAGCTATTTGTGTTTGGATATTTTTTTTAATGCACATATTTCTATTTGCTTGGAATGAATCACCCTTCTTTTTAGGTAAATAAATCTCTGAATCAGTTAAATCAATTGGCCATCTTCCTAGTTTTTTTATATATGGGATTGGGAGTAACTGAATGCAGTGCTAGGTATGTTGTCGGTTCTATTAAGGAGAGTTGGAGAGACTGGCAGCCTCATTCATGCACCAGACATCACTGAGTGGGCTTCTTGATACAAGATATATATATATATGAATTGTAAGATTGGTGAATTCACCTCATGTAGAGGGTAGGGAGGCTGGGGCGGAGCGAGATGATGTAGCGTGCGTTGCTGCATCCTCATGGAATGCAGCTGAGGGAGCAATCGAGGGAGCCGATTAAAGCAGAGGAGACGACCTGACTTACCTGAAGTGTCACTCGGGGTGCAACACAAAAATTGAGAAATAGGGGGATACAGGGAGCTACCTTCTCAACAAATAGATCTACAGCCAGCCAGATACCCCAATGGATAAACACAAAGGAGCCTAACAGGAGAAAACAGCAACAGAAAACACAAGCTAAGTGCCAGTTGCTACTAATCTGTCTGTTTATTTACACTATATGCTTACTATGCAGGGGTTAGCAGAAACATTGGGTCTCCTGAAAATAAGTGGACCTCTAAGAAGAGATGAAATAGGGATAATATAGAGAACTGCATACAGTAGGCAATACATGATTTAAAGATTATTTAAATCAAGTTAATTTCTGCCAATAGTGTGAAACAGACTACTAAAAAGGTCTGTAGTGTGCTCGGGGGAATTGCCCAGAGGCTTCAGGTACTTCTAGAGCTTTTCCTTTTAGTTATTGTCTGGATTTTTTTTGTTCTCTGCTGTCACACCGCTTCTCCCCTACTCCTGTTATTTAGCACAATTTTCAGAAAAGGGAGGAAGTAATAAAAAAATATAAATAAAAGAAAATAATAAAACTTAATTGTTTACTAGGATAGAAAGGGGAAGGTGGGAGTAAAGGCGAGGAGGAGAAGAAGTTGGGCAGCAAGAAATGCAAGACAAAAAGGATACTATTTTAAAAGCAAACATAGTACTAGCCTAAAGAGCATATAACCTCCAGAAAAAAGAGAGTAAAACTAAAATACAAATACATATTAAAATAAAAATGGCAATAAAAAAAAGACACAAAATGGCAAGCACTTAAAAAAAGAAAAAAAGTCTGAAAATAAAACAGTAAAACGCCTTTCCTTCTTTTCACCAAACCTTTCAAGTAAAAAAACAAACCTGGAGGAATCTCTACTTTCTAATATCCCAACAGAGAAAGGCATCAATAAAAGACAAGCAGAAGAAATTCAAGAGTCAAGAAAAGGAAGAAATGAATATGACAACTTACTCAGACACTTAGATACACAATTTGTAAATTTGAGAGAAGAAATACAAGCTAATACTCTAGTCAAAAAGAAAGAACTGTTGACTCTCAACCAATGTTTTCAAGGAATAGAAAAAAAACTAAACATGTTGGTACATAAAGAAAAAGTCCACGAAGAAGTACATCTGGTGCTGGAAGAAAAGATGGCTGACATGGAGAACAAACTGGTAGATCTAGAGGACCGGTCAAGGCGGAACAACTTAAGAATTAGAGGAGTGTCAGAACAAATAAATCTAAAAAATCTGGAACCACACATAGAAGAATTCTTTAAGCTCCTGAAGGTGGAATGGGACCCCATAATTCCCATAATGGAAAGATGCCACAGAGTGAACAAACACAAGGGCACCCCAGAACATCTTCCAAGAGATGTATTGATATGTTCGCCTCTTCTAAAAGTGGCAAATTCTGATAGCCATAAGAAACAATAAATGCGCAGAAGAATACCAAACATTGAAAATATTCCAGGATCTGTCATGGCTAACCAGACAAAAAAGGAAGACCATCTCTGACAGCACACTAATTCTGAGAAAGAACAATATTAATTATCGATGGGGATTACCAACGAGAATTATCATATCTCATGAAGGGAAGACCACCACCATTAATTATGCAGAAGACCTAAAAAGTTGGTTAAGCAAAAATAAAATTGGAAACAGTTCCAACCACAAGTCAACAAAGGGGGGGGCCCTAAATATTAGATTACCTGAAACACTCTCCCTTCCTAATCTTAAAAGAAAATTTTTATAAAATAAACCTTAACTAAGCTAGTGCATATTAGTGCTTCCAAGTGTAGTAAGTGAGAAACAAATAGCACGATGAGTGGTTCGACGTGTCAGCAGGCCGTCGTCAGGAGCAATGTCTGTGAGCTGGCCAAGCTGTCTATTTATATGTATCCTTAATTAGCAATAAGCTATTGAGTGTTGGCTGCTGTGTAAAGGGGTTGTGAGTTCATCTATTCTTACCGCCTCAAAGTCAGACTGTGTGATGTATGCACCCTTCTTAATCCTCATTTCGCCTCGCCTACTGGAGGGCTGTACTGAATTCTGTGTTTGTCAATCAAAAACTATAAGACGTACCTCCCTCCTATTCCCATTGGGCGCTGCCCACGTGGGGCAGATGTAGGATCGCACGTCTATCTACACAAACCGTGAGGTATGACTATATTCATCTATCTCCCCAATTGCTGGCTGGCAAATCTGACTTCTCATTCCACCGAGATGTTACACACCCACAAGTCATACACACACCCACATGAGAATCCATGTGGGTGTGTCAGATGGCCAACACTCCTCCCCAGTACTCGAGGACCGGCCAGAGTTCTCCAAATAAGATCAAATTATCCTCCTCTCTGTTAATATGTACTGTATAGACATAACAGAGGACTAGAGCATCTCATATTCACTCAGATTTCAGGAGAGATCAACTAAAAGGGGAACTTACCTCCATTTTCAACTATATAATGAAAACAGGAAGCTGTCCTGGAGAGCTGTTGAGAGTGAATATTGTCCCTATCCCAAAAGCAGACAAAGATTTAGAACTGATTGGCAATTATAGACCTATATCATTAATCCATACAGATATTAAAATATTGTCATCTACCCTTGCTGATCGATTAAAAACAGTCATACCACAATTAATTAATAATGACCAAGTAGGATTCATATCAGGGAGGTCTTCAAGACCAAGTAGGACTCATATCAGGGAGGTCTTCAATCAACAATCTTAGAAAAATAATAAATATATTAGAAGAAACAGAGAATAATGGAACCCCTCTAATGCTACTGTCAATAGATGCAGAGAAAGCGTTTGACAGGGTTGGATGGGGTTTCATGTTTGCCACCTTAAAACAATTTGGAATAACTGGACCAATATTACAAGCTATATCTGCACTCTACAACTCTCCATCAGCTAAAGTAACAGGGTTAGGATTCACATCACAAAACTGCAGTGTTAAAAATGGGACTAGACAAGCGTGCCCTCTTTCCCCTTTACTGTACATAATGGTGTTAGAATCCCTTGTGATTTTAATAAGACAAAATAAAAAAAATTAAGGATTTATGAACTCTTTAGGACAAAGTAAATGAAATATTTATGCAGATGACATCTTACTAACTTTAGAAGAACCAAAAACCTAATTCCCAGTGCTTCTAAGGAGATAAATAAATACTCCAAAGTCTCAGGATATAAAATAAATATAGAGAAATCAATATTTATAGCAAAAGGTTAATTAATTTTCTCGTACAAAACCTCGGGCTCTCAAAAAACATGGACAGGCTAAAATATTTATGTATAACATTAACCACAGATTTAAAAGACCTAGTAAAAGCCAACTTTTTACCCTTACTAACACTAACTAATAAAAACTAAAGGGACTGGAAAGGTATGGGATTTTCCTGGTCGGGAAGGATCAATATCCTAAAAGCATATATTTTACCAAAATGGCTGTAACTATGGAGAATGATCCCACTTAATTTCCCAGAAACTGGTTATCTTTACTACACTCATCCTTTTTAAAATTTGTATGGGGTGGCAAGAAAGCAAGAGTTATAATGAAAGTTTTGGCTAGATCAAGGCAGGATGGAGGTTTTGGGGTGCCTGGAAATTTTACAATGCTATCAAGCTAGCAGACTTTTCCATATATTGCTTTCACAAAATATTGCTGCAATCCAAGAATCATGGTTTAAAATGGAAAAAGCTAAATTTAACATCACTATTTTGGATCCTCGATGTGAACAAAAAAATCCATCAAAGAGGCACGAACTAAATCTCGGATACTCAAAGAGTAAACGAGTTGGTGGGACAAATTCTCAAACAACATAGGTCTCAGAAATAGGATAATAGATGTGCTCCCCTTTTCATGTATTTCAGATATGTTAGACAACATAAAAATAGACACTTGGAAGACTGGGGGGAATAAGGGAATTTAAAAATATACTGGTGGAACATAAAATTAAAATCTTCAATCAAATTATGGAGGAATTCAACATTCCCCCCAAAGACACTTTTAACTTTCTGCGAATTAAGGTCTTTTTAGCAGAATATCTCTTTCAAAATGAGGGGGGAAAAATTACAATCCTCAAACATTTACTCGAATTAAAGAACTACAAAAACCTAATGGCAAAATGCGCTAACGTTATATACAGATGGAGACACGATAAACCGATAGAACTTATTAATACATGGGAAAAGGGAGTTTAATAGGACAGCACAAGATATTTATGATGAAAAGAGTACCAAGGCCTGAAATATAGAAATATTAGCAAAACTATACAAATATAAAATAAAAAAAATAAAAAGATTGGTGAATTCCCCTAAAAGAGTGATGCTATACACCAACATAGTACAGATTTTTGGATGTCAACATCATTGGATCAAGTCCCTCTAATCTAACTCTAATCTGACTATTTGTAACATTTTATAAGCATATTGTATCATTTTATTGCACTACCTTTTGGAAATATTGGAAGTGATTCATTATATTTAAGTAGGTACTTTTTATACTTGTGTGATGGTTTGGGTGTTTATCTTTTTTTGTATATATTAAAAAAAATATATTTTTGTTTGTGCAGTGATATACAGGCAGGCTTAAACTGGCATGTCTACTTAGTGATAAACGTCTGTCAAAATAACAATGATACTTGACATGTCATGGGTAACAAGCACAATTGAAAAACATTAAGTGCAGTGGCAATATACAGGATAGCGATGACATATACATTTTCATACTCAGTGCATAGAAATATGACTTGTCAGAATAAACGGCACATTTTTAAAATAGGGAACAAGAAAAAACAATTAGGGTAGACAGCATAATCTTAAAGTAGAACTAAAGCATGACATGGGTTTGCCCCTCTTCAGCACTTGCCTGTGCACTGCTGTTCTCTGGCATTACCAATTTGGTCTATACCACTTGAGATGGGTCATAGGGCCTGTAACTAAGTGGCGGACGCAGGGACTTCGGTGTGGCTGTGCAAGTAAAGTTGTCAGGGGACCTTGTGTGGTGGGCAGGAGGTATCTATGCTGGCACTTCTGCCAAAGCATTTCAAAGAGGCTGTCCAGCCAGAGTAGAAATCCAGGGTTCTCCTCTAGGTGTTTCCGAGAGCATGTTGTCTCTGCCATGTTGGGTATGCCTTTTTTGTTTGCAACTTGTGTTGCAGCAGGACTGCCAACCACCCATGGAGGTAAGGAACAATCGAGTTGTGGACCAGGATCACCCCCGCAGGTCCATGGGGGGGGATAGCGGGGCGTCAGTTAAATTAGTTTGCAGGTGTCTGGCTGGAAGATCGGCCACCTCCCCCCTCCACAATGCCCACTAGGCCTTACTCACAAGTGGCAAAGATCACTGCCGACGACTGCTGGAAGCAGCCCTGAGCTGGTCAGTAGATGCAGGATGGCTCATTCTGTCAGCTCAAGATAAAGAGCCCAAGATACTGGCAACTGGGCTAAATCAACAAAATCATGAGGAGCTCTCAGAGAATACTTCCAGTTGTCATTACATTCAGACAGAAAGGCAGACACAAGAAAATGCTGCAACAAAAACCTAGAAATGGCCTGTACTGGGGCCACCCAGTTGGCCTCATGGTAAAGCATCCACTGAAGCATCCAATGAAAATTCATACAAAAATTCAATAGTAGACCACAAAGAGAAACATCTAACTGAACTACAAAAATATTTTTCAGTAATCCAGGACTTGGTTAATGAAGCAGTTTTGGTTTATAGATTATGCCACTAAAGTCTCACTGTTCGGTTCTCTGCCATTTAGGAGTTAAATAACTTTTTTTTATGCAGCCCTAGGCACACCTCCCTGCATGTGACTTGCGCACCATTCCTAAACACTTTCTGTAAACTGACATTTAATGTTTACATATTTAAAACTCATTAATTGCACAGTCTATTTAATTTAGAATTTCATATCTGCTACACTGTTAATAGCCTGATAGACCTTGCAGGAGCCTCCTGTGGGTGATTAAAGCTTAATTTACAGAGCAGGAGATAAACATATTCTAAAGAAAGTTAACATCTGATTGAAAGTGAAGGCATTTTCTTTTTAATGCAAGCTCTGTGAGTCACAGCCATTGGAGGTGTGACTAGGACTGCATGAACAGAAATAAAGAAATGTAACTACAAAATTTTAGCAAATTTAGAAGTACGACAAATTGTTTTTTTAAATATAGTGTCCCTTTAAAGTGCTGAGTATTTTTCATCAAAGATGTTATCTTTACCTGAGTGTTGTATTTGTAAATGGTAAATTTCTCTCAACAGTCAATACTGGTTCAAATGGGTTTCTGTGGAAGTACTGTGTGTTTCACAATGACTCCAGCATGTTCATTCTAATGATAAATCGCTGGGCACAGTGTCTTGTTTCTTCTGGGAATCTATCCAAGTCTTTTTGGAAGTGGAAGATAAGAAGGTAGAGCTATGATGCAAGATATGTTTGCAGCTTTTGCAAAAACAATGTATCTGGCATCACTGAGAAAAATCGTATGCATTCTTGTACACTATGTGCTTGGATTACCCCGCTGAACTCTGTACGAACATAAAGATTTGTATCTATTTTCAAACTGCAAATTATTTAGAGAATATATTTCCAAATACTTAATTTAATAAACCATACAACAATGACAATTATGTTTGTTACTAAACTACAATTTGTGGTGACTTGAGAAACAAATTGCAATATCAAGTACAAATACCGTGATAAGAAAATCTTAGCAAATTGAATTGTTTCCAACTGCGATTGTTGTCTAAGTTGATTGTCGAGTCACCAAAAACCATCACTGATTGTCTATCAAAGACTGAAATCCTTACTAAGTTTGAATGAAAACCTAAATCCTGTCCTTGCATGACCTCCCACATCTTGGAGAACAAGAACTGGCCTTTCATAAGTGAACCTATGCTATTTAATCTTAACTCTTTTCACCATTTATATAAATATTGGCAACATTGACAATTAAAGCACTATTTTATATAATAAAAATTACTGTATAATTTATCATAGGTGCAAATAAATGTTAATAAGTTACATTGTAATCTGTAATGGTTCTATTTAAAATGTAAAACAAAGAACGATAAGAAAAAAATAGAGAGGCTTGGAGAAATTTTCTAAATATGTCTGTATCATTGTTTCCAACAAAGTTTGTCGTTATTTGCACTTTGATATGTCTTCAGAGATATATTTCACACCATCACTCACTAAACAGTTATGCTTCCTGTGACTCATTTACAACAATGCTATCTGCTGGAATAATTTATTAATCTTGAGTGTGCAAGTTTGCAGATGCTGACATCAAAGTAGAAATTCAGAACATGCCAATATAATCCTGTTTTATACTTTTTTGAATAGCAAATATCATATTATACTTTATTGGTGACCGACACTACAAAACATCACAGTTCTTAAAGTGTCTGAACTCTCACGTCCCACTCATTATATACTTTTATAAAGTATAGCTTTTTTTAATGAAATGAGGAAAAATGGTGGCAACCCAATACAGAAATACACATTAATCCCAATCCCTCATTTGTCATTGATTCATGATGATTTCTGAACTTTGTTCAGTATTTTGTTTGTTTTCAACACATTTACAATCCAAAAATGTCTTCACTGCTTTTGGTAAACATTATTTTTTCGTCTTCACTAACATTGCATAAGACATTATTATCAATTCAAAACTTGGCAAACTGAATAGTCATCTTGCATTTGTAGAGCTCATATTGCAGTTATTGAAAGGCAAGCTTATATCAAAGGTTATTGAAAGGCAAGCTTATACCGTGATAACATTTACAGCTCAAGAGAAGTGAACCATTTACTATAAAATTGGGAACTCTAAAACCTTTTACTTTTCTTTAAAAAAATGCTCTTTTGGGTATTATTCTTTTGGAAAAAGTTTTAAAATAAGTTTTACTTCCTGTAATCCAGCATTAGGTGAAGCTCCCAGCACTGTGCACCATGCCCTCGTGTGACATCACGTGTGCCGGAGGTGTAACTAGTACACAAGTGCAAAAAACTCTGGATGTGCAGAAACACTGCACATTCAAACTCCTACCACCATGACCACTTCTAAAAGCAGAAGTGGTCATGGTGGTTGGAGTAACCCTTTCACAATTTACCATATCCCTATCACAATATATCACATCCTACAAGCGCTCTATGGGAGCCAACCAGGATGCAGAAGAGAGCCCCAGTATTATACACTTCTGAGCTATAGCCTAGAGCTGGCGTGTCAATATAAGTGTTTGAATCTGTGTATATCTATGTGTCTATGTGTTTTGTGCATCTGTGTTAGTGTGTTTGAATCTGCATGACTGTGCGGGAATCTGCATATCTGTGTATGTGTATTTTTCAGTGTCTGTGTATGAATCTGTGTGTGTGTATCTGTAAAATGTGAAACATGATGAGCTATTGTATTGGCCTGCCATTGAGTTGTACTGACAACCTGAGCCACACATTGCCAATCCTCCCCTGCCCTGTATCATAGAGTCTCAATATGTGCCCAAACAACAAAGCTCCGTGCAAAGAGCACCCTGCCATGGTGTAGCTTGTTTTAACAAACCTCTGGGCATATTATTATTATTATTATGATATCTATAGAGCGCCGTCAAATTCCGCAGCGCTTTACAATGGGTGGACGAACAGACATGAAGTTGTAACCAGACAAGTTGGACACACAGGAACAGAGGGGTTGAGGGCCCTGCTCAATGAGCTTACATGCTAGAGGGAGTGGGGTAAAGTGACACGAACGGTAAGGATAGTATTAGACTAGTGACAGTTGCAGAAGAGGAATCAGTCAGGAGCTATTAACAGTTTAATTGATACGCTTTTATGAAGAAGTGGGTTTTTAACGATTTTTTGAAGGAGTGGAGACTGGGTGAGCATCTAACGGAGGAGGGAAGCGAGTTCCACAGGAACAGTGCAGCCCTTGAGAAATCTTGAAGGCGAGCATCAGAGGTGGGAGTATGGACAGAAGATAGACGTAAGTCTTCAGCAGAGCGTAAGGGCCTAGACGGGAGATACTTGTGTATAAGGGAGGATAGATAGGTGGAAGCAGCATTATGTAGCGATTTGAAAGCAAGAACCAGAATTTTAAATTGAGCTCTATATTTTATAGGAAGCCAATGTAGAGACTGACAGAAGGGTGAGGCAGGGGAGGTGCAGGCAGACAGGAAGATGAGCCTCGCTGCCGCATTCATTATGGACTGTAACGGCGCAAGTTGGGAGCACGTAAGACCACTGAGAAGCGGATTACAGTAGTCAAGGCGAGAAAGGACAGTGGAATGGACCAACACCTTAGTCTCATCTGACGTTAAGTAGGGGCATAATATTTAGGTCTTAATCCATGCCAAAAGTGACCAGTTGACCATGTCTGGCACATTGTATCGGAGCTGTGCCTGGTGATCCAGGTTTAGCCCTGTGTTATTTACTGGAGTGCCAACATTTAACAGTCATGCAAACAGAGCCCTTTGCCTAGTCTAAAAGTGCAATTAGTTGTTTTGGTTTGCTTGCGTGGGTATAGCTTACTAGGCAATCCTTCTCTCTCTTTCTTTCTTTCTTTCTTTCTTTCTTTTACAATAATAGAAGGGACTGCACCAATAGCCCACTAGTATACCTAACATACACATTGACTCACTACTTCAAATGCACATCTACCTTCACACAATTTTCGAAAATACACTGACAATCAGTGTTGGTGAATGGGGGGGTGTATTTATATACACCTCCACAGAATAGGAATCCCCCACATTTACGCATGCTAACATTACATGCACAGAATGACACACAGTTACACATCTAAATCCACAAACCATAATACAATAATTCACATAACCATGACACATAATATTGACATAAATTCTGGAATGACAATCATTCACCACTACATTGACATAGTTGCTGTACATAAATATACACCCCCTCCATTAACACACACTTAAATGCACAGGTTTTGTTGTTTTTTTTTTTTTAAAGTGTTGTCAGTGATTGCATTAAACATTGATCCACAAAAATGATTCAGTTAATGTACTGATAATTCTTATCTGGAATGACTGTGATTGCGTAAGCTTGAAAGCTTAACTTAAGGTATTGGATCATTTTTGCATCAATAATGCTGAAAAGGTTGCCAAAAGCCTTGAAAAGAAGATGTAAATGTGATTGTGTCAACATCAGTTTCACTCTTTGTCAGTTGTTAATATGTAGATAATCATCAATCAGTAGACTTACTATAGCCACAGTTAGGGTGGTTTGGCAAACTGATGTCGGTAAAAATATCTAAATTGACTATTTACTAAAGGCAATTTCGTTGCAAAATCAGCTTTGTAGTCTAAGTAGATCACTACACGTGGATCATGCATTAAATAAGGTTTCTGGATCAAACGCGGGAGTTTTAGTTTGATAAATATCAATGGAACATGCTGGGATGATACTGAGGTCACAGCAAGGTGCTTTAATTGTCAATAAACACTAATAAACTCAAGGTCCTTTATTAACTAGGGAAACTATTTTGAATATTTTTGGTATATTACTTAGCTATACCATGGATTGGCTACAAGGATATTCAACCCCATTGCCTCTCTCCCATGTAAGATTGAACAGGCTTGGGGGTTCGCCAGCTCTCACACAAACACCTCTCAAAAAGTATTAATATGAAAGGATTCCTAGGATACTCTAATATCGCTCAGTTTAGTGTAGCTAATTTGTGACCCATTCCATTAGACGACCAAGACTCTTTGGGGCAACTGTGGTGAAGTTTCCAAAATTTTCCTCAATAAATTGAAAAAATAAAAAAAAGAGAAAATAAAAACAAACCTATGGAGAAATTATTTAGAAAAATCCATTGTACATTACAAAAATTCACATTTTTATGTCCAGAATGTGAGTCCCTACTAATACTGTATTTATGTTTCATTTCGATGCTGCAACCATAACAATAACAAGTCTAATATCTGATCAATATCTAGTAGGATACTTGTGCTCTGTATTATTCAAGCCAACTCAATATCCAAGATGTAGATATTCTACACCACATTCTTAATGACAATAGATTGACTGTTGGTCTCACATTTTTTGTATTAACAGATCATTTTGGATCATGATTGCTTTTCCCTGTGTTCCATATGTTTTGCTCATTATTTATATTAAATATCTTTCCAGCTGTGACTTCAGATCATCAACAACATAACCAGCCCCGACCATATCTTGGGGTTCGAGTGAAGGAGCCTGTAAAAGAACTACTAAAAAGAAAACGAGGACATTTTAGCAATACTAACACCTTAACACCCACGGTAACATTTTTATTCACATAAAAATATATTAAAAGACATTAGGAGATGGCATTTTATTATTTATGAAATATTAATAATGTACGCTGGGACATATATTAAATACATTTCCTTACTGTAAGAAATACTTTGATGTCCATCTGTTGGTCCGATAACACAGGAGAAAAGAGCTGGTTTGTGAACTCGGAACTTAATTAAATCAATTTATTTCAATGTACAAAACAGATTGGAAACTTTCTATTCAATCCAGTAATAATGAACGGAAACTTTATGAGCACACCTACCATGATATATTGACTAGTTTCACTGCCTTGATTTTGTTTCAATTTCTCGACTCAAATCATATCAAATGTTAATCTTTTGATTCCAATTTTTATTCCTCTCGCTAAGCACGCATTTCACAGTATGAATCCGTTATCTCCCAACCACACTGTGTAATTAAGTATCACACTATTCTTCTGTTGTTTTCTTTTTCTGCTAATCTCCATCATACATTGGAGGTTACATTGGAGATACAAAGTGTGAACTAACTTAGACAGTGATCACTATTCACAGATAATTCTACAAACTGAGAAATGAGCTCTACGAAGTCTACATCTGTCTACCAACCTCTGTTCATCTATAATCCTAAATAACATTACCTTGTACAATGAATTTTAAAATGAGTTTACTGTCATGTCCTCTGAACACCTATCAATTCTCTGTCAGGGATATTTACTGTAGCGAGAATTGCCAGAAATTCAAAGTGAGTTTCAAATTCAAGGCTGAAACAGCCAAACTAGAAGTATAGCTGTGTGTGTGTAGTGAATGCAGAGTGTGTGTCTACTGGATGCAGAGTGTGTGTATAATGGATGCAGTCAGTGTATGTAGTGAATACAGAGTGTGTGTATAGTGGATATATTGTGTGTATAGTGGATGCAGAGTATGTGTATAATGGATGCAGTCAGTGTATGTAGTGAATACAGTGTGTTTGTATAGTGGATACATTGTGAGTATAGTGGATGCAGTGTGAGTATATAGGATGCAGAGTATGTGTATAATGGATGCAGTCAGTGTATGTAGTGAATACAGTGTGTTTGTATAGTGGCTACATTGTGAGTATAGTGGATGCAGTGTGAGTATAGTGGATGTAGTGTGGGTATAGTAGTAGCAGTGTTTGTATAGTGAATTTGGTGTGTTTTTAGTAACCAGGTTCCTGTATGGTGATGAGGAGGCCCAGCACACAAACCTCAGCTTCTGTCAGTATCTCTCTCTGACTCAAGCGAGCCTGGCATAGGTGCCTCGTGAAGCATTGCCATGGTAACCCACAGCAATGCTCTGAGAGCTGGGGGCTTGCAAGAGTTTGAAAGAGGAGCCTATAAAAACTGAAGTTAGTGAGTGCTGGGACCCCTCTTCCCTGTACATGATGCAGCCAGTGACCTGGGGACTCGCAGGTTTGTTTATATATATAGTGATAATCATCATATATGTGCACATTGGGAATGCGGGGCCCTTGCGCCCTTGGCGTCTCTGCCCCACACAGCTGTATCGGCTGTACTTCCCTGATATTTCCTTTTGCTTGTTTGACTTCCCTGATGACAGCCCAAAAAGCTGTCTTTGCAGTTTTATTAACATTTCATTAGATTACAAATTGTAATCATCCCGCAGCTCGGAAAATGTACGTTCTTCACTGTTCTAACTCAATTATGAAGATGCATATTGTGGGTAACCATAGCAAAGTGATGACAAATAATCGAAATGTGTAACTTCATGGTGTTTTTAATTGTTACACTCATAAATTAACCGAGCCTTGAGATTATGAATTAAATTAGTCGACCACTTCTTCTTCTATCTGTTTCTAGGTGACTTCAACCTACCAGACATATCCTACCTATGCCCCAATGGGTAATTATTCTAAATTATTATTATTACATTTAATTCTTTCACATAAGTATTTTAAGCTATCTTCATATGATACTCATTGTCTTTTACCAGTTTCAAATTCCACTGACTTCTCCTATGTTGATACGACTGTTACCACGTCAGCATTGCCTCTACATGATGAAGGAACTGTTTATACGAGTTGGATTTCCCAGCCTCCCACAGCTGCTTTTCAACCTTTAACCCAATGGACAACATGTCCAGAATACATTTCACATGAAACTGTTAGCTGCCCATATACTGGAGATATGTATGTCCAACCAATGTGTCAAGGTTACACAGTGGTTGGACCACCTTCCGTTTTGACCTACACTTCTCAACCACTACTAACTAACTTCACAGTAAGTAAACCGGCTAAAACAAAATCATGAATACATATTGTTTACATAATGTATATTGAGATAAAAATCTAAACATGTTTTTCAAAAGCAAGGGAATATTCGGAAACGTTATACTAAATGCATAGTATATGTAAGAAAGGATCAGTAAGTAACATGAATCAAAGGTTTTTGATATTTCAACAATTTCATTGTTTATATAAATATAAGTTTTCATTGGACGAAGTAATTAACAGGTAACTTACCATATTTCTATGTTTTGGCTAAACATTATTGTATTTACAATTCAACAACACCTGAAGTATTATCTATTGGCTATTCTTGTTGTGAAACATACACAATGTACCAATTCCATATTATAATTTAAGCAAAAAAGATGAGTTTCATTTCTGCATAAATTAGACTAATATATAGTGTTCTTAACTCACTGTGTTCATTTTCAACTAATGATAGATTGGCATGTAAGTAAATGCATTTTACATGTAACGTGTAACAGGTTTCATAAAATCCTTTATTCTGGGATAACAATAAAAATATAGAATAATGACTATTTCTATTTCAGTTTTGGAAATTTGTTCTCTTGAGCTCTTGTTGACCAAAATTTTCATTATTCCCCACCAGCATGGGTTTGCAGAGATATATCTAAAATGTTATGATAGCTTCACACTAACATGCTATTTCAAATAAAAGAGGAATAAAATAATTTAATAAACATCAATCTAGATTAACATTTCAAAAATCAACATAATAAATCCACTAGTGAAATATAAAAAAAATTAAGGTTAATATGTTCAGAATTTAGGTGCTCCAATCACCAATGTGAGTCACTTATCACATAAAATAAATAATACAATATACAAAAAATGTGAATGGTGAGAGCACACTTTACAACTTTACCCTTATTATACATAAAGTTTTACTTCCATTCTTGAAAATCTAAAATCAGGAAGAAAAGAATATATAGGGTAATAACGTCATTACTGAAATTTTCAAATACTGTAGATGGTCACGTTACTCATGGTCATGAGTAACGTAATTACCGAAATTTTCAAATACTGTAGATGGTCACACTCACATGGTCATGTGACCATCTACAGTATTTGAAAATTTCAGTAATTACGTTATTACCCTATATATTCTTCTCTTCCTGATTTTAGATTTTCAAGAATGGAAGTAAAACTTTATGTATAATAAGGGTAAAGTTGTAAAGTTGTATATTGTATAATAAATCCACTAGTTGATGGTCATAGTGGGACAAGAATTCAAAAATAGAGACTGATACTAAAGATTATTAAAGTAGCTCTGATTAACGTTTGCTCAAAAGTATGTAAGTTTTATTAAGTACTTTCTTACATTATTGGGTTTATTGAACAGTTCGTAAATATTAATATTTAATAACAGTATTATCTCTTTTTTTCGTGCCAGGCAAGAAGTGCCACTCCAGGCATTGCTACCCAAATTGAGTACACGGATCAGCAAGCGCCATTTACTTATATTCCATGGGCTCAGTCGATCCCCACGATTCCTGCAGCAAGTCACACCTTACCCTACCAGGCCACTCCAACCATGCTTGGACAGCAATTTGTCCCCATACCCATTTCACTTCCAGATCCTGTACCACAAGAACATGATGACACAAGACGAGAAATTAACAATATATCAATTGAGAAACTACTTCAGGAGGATGAAGATAATGAAACTTATGCCATACAACATACGCTTTCACTTGCAGGTCTTTAGTCATCATCATCAACATCACCATGACCATCTTCATAAATAAGTTACAGATATGAGAAAAAAGGCTGAACTTGACAGACCCAAGTCTTTTGTTTCAGCCTATATAACTATGTAACTATGTAAGTTGAATTTGAAAATGTTGGTTGTCATTAAAGGGGCATCATAGTATTTTACAGTTTGTTATCCGTTAAATATATTTTTAAGCTGCTAAATGGACAGCATTCTTTGAAATACCAGATGCAGATTCCATTGTAGTCAGGAAGCATTTCCAAATTTGTACTTTTTAGAATGCAAATTCATGCAATTTTATCTTCGTGACATTTAGGAGAATTGGCTTTGTAAAGTTAACTTGTCTACTTATAATTATCCTCAGGAGCCAGAAATCACTCTGTAAATGTCAACATGCTGTACATTCACGACAAACCTTAATGAAAGTTATTGATGTTTTTGGCTAAATAGTGAATTGTTGTGAATTGATTATGAAATTGCAATATTTATACAAAAAGAGATAAGATAGGAAAAAAAGCACAATTTTTGCAACCTAGCAATTTTGGACTAAACATTGGAATTTATCAACTTTATATGTTCTTATTAGTGTTTAATCTCTGCACTGTTTCTAGGAACAAGTCTTTTATACAACACAAAGGAAAGTCAATAACAAAATGCCTATCCAAACCCAAGAATTATTATATTCAGGTCCAAAGTATTTCTTGGTTTTACCTTTTTTTATTTCCACAGTATATAACTTTTTAATATACCGGTATAATTGCCAAGCTTATTATGTCGCAAATACAAAATCTGTAATTACTCTATACTATACGCACCGTCTTTCATTCTAATTTTTCTCCATAAGAAAATATAGTTTGCAGTTATTTAATAAAATATTTGACTCTCGAGTATTTGGCATTAATCTGCCTACACACTTCTCATTGTTTAGTTTATAAATCCATAGGACATCTCATTTATAAAGACAGGTTTTCCAGATTTATTTACCTTGAAAAAGAGGAGAAGACATTGAAGTCTAACAATGTTGTAATCCGGGGTTGGGATTACAGCATTTTAATTCACCTTTCAAGGGGATATAATTTATAAAACGTATAATGTAAATATTCAATTCATTGAGTCCTTGAAGGTTGTGAGGTGTGCCAGAGTGCTCACCCTTTCCACTAGCCTAGAGCCTGTAGTGTAGTAAAATAACTGGTTTAAAGGGATACTTCAACCACCATAACCACTTCTGCTTTTAGAAGGGGCCATGGTGGTAGGAATCTGTATGTGCAGTGTTTCTGTTAAAAAAGCTGCACATCCAGAGACATTTGCACTTTTGTGTTTTAGGGACTATTTGCCTCATGGCACTCGTGACTTAGACAGCCGGATAGTATGTTCCGTTACATCTGTTACATCTGTTGTCAGCACACACTGCACTCTGGCATTAGGCATTCTCTGCAGTTCTCCTCCCTCTGTGCACTCCAGCATCATCTCTATCCAGTGACAGTCATTTATATATTTTTTTAATTATCCCTCACCTCCCTGTCTAGCCAGACTCCCTCCCCTTGCCATTGCATGCACTCTTGAGACAGAGAAATGGTCCCCTTAAATGCTTCCCTATGAGAAGCATTTGATTGGACCTCGCAAAGGAATCAGTGACATCAGACTGGGCTTGGAAAAAACACTGCCTGGAGCTGACTTTCAAATAAGTTTATTTTATATTTTCAACTTTATAATGGGAGGGGGTGGGGCATAATTAGCAATGCCAAATAGGGAATAATGGAATAAAGTATTAACTAAAAAAAAAAAAAAAAATCTACTCTTCCCTCTCTAACAACACAATTCAAAAGAGAGCAGAGCAGAGAAGCTTGTATAATACCACCTATTGGCCATAGTCAACAGTGCGGTTTCTCTACATTAGAGCATTCTCAGAGTTATAATATATAATTAGAATACAAAGAAATTTAAGCATGGTCATTTGATTAAAAGCTTTAAAGTAGCTTCTTTGCACATCATTTCCATAAACAAACTTCATAATGTGTGCTAAAGAACTTTTTTCTGACAATAAAACAAAAATATTAATAATATACAGTACACAGTAGTAGTACACAGTAGTAGTACACAGTAGCAGTACACAGTAGCAGTACACAGTAGCATTACACAGTAGTTGTTAATATGGATAATCTTCATGGATTTGCAGAATCTTTTTCACTATCTCAAAAATGTCATGTAATAAAACATACAGAATAGAATACCTTTAGAGACTGTTATATGCATTACTTCAAAACAAAGATTACTATCTCATTAGATCTATTCAGCTTTCATTTACAAAGATTCTATTTTATCATTTAATTAACATCTGTCATGTTTTACGAACATAATGTCAGTGTTTGGCAATCCTATAAATGCCAAGTTTGATAGAAAGATAATACCTTCAGGGGAATAACAAGTGTTCTTGCATATATAAACTTGTCTAGAGCTTACTTTCTAACGCTAACTTAATGCACATCTAGAGGTTACAGATTTGAAAATTATACGGGATCAAAGCCTCAAATTAATATTGTTCGATAGGCTTTTCCAGTGATTTAATATTTGTATAAACTCTTTTTATATTTGTTTTGAAGATTAAAATATAAAATAATGTATCGTATAAATAAATAAAAAATCAATACATTAAAAAAATCTAAATAATACAAAATTATTATTTTTTTAGAATATTTAATCATTAAAAATTTAGCCAAAATAAATAATTTGAAAAGCTTATTCAAAAATATTAATTCGAAATGAAAATTATGAAATTCAGAGACTGGAATAAGCAGGAAGGATAGTAAGGTCACTAAAGGATAAGAGACTAATGTAGCAGAGGTATTCACTGAAGAGAAAACTGCTTTGAATTAAAATTGACCTAAATGTGAATTTCAATGTAAGGCCAACATAGCCAAACTGGAAGCATAGCTGGTTTCTGCTCATTAATAGTGAAAGAAAAAGACTTTCAGGACTTTTCCCCATTTAATATTGCACACGTTGTACATTTGAGGATGGAGTCATTAGTGTTGGACCAACAGAAACAGTTAAACTATCTGTGCCCCTTGTCAACACATACCATTCTCGGTCATCCATACAGTCTACAATACATGAAGGCTGGTCCAAATGGCCAGCACCTTACTGCCTATTTTTCTTGCAATACAAACAAAAATCAGTCTATTGGAATGGTAAATACTAATGAGAAGCATGTTGGAACAAAATGTTGCATCTGTCACAATTAGCTCTGCAGTTTCCTTCCCTTGAACACTTTTTTATGGATAGCTAGAGATGCTGCTGAGAGGCTGAGCAACTAAATATGTTAAGTCTTTTGGGTATCTTTAAAAAAAAAAAAAATCAATAATCTATTTTCTGGGCATAGACCCCTCAGGCATGAATAGACACTCTTGCAGAATATCTGACATTGCCTGTTGAATTTGCACTGGGCCATTAAGTCATGGATGCCCTAAAAGATGGGTCTGCATATTGTTTGTTCTTCTTCTTATTATTATTATGATATTTATAGAGCGCCGTCAAATTCCGCAGCGCTTTACAATGGGTGGACGAACAGACATGTAGTTGTAACCAGACAAGTTGGACACACAGGAACAGAGGGGTTGAGGGCCCTGCTCAATGAGCTTACATGCTAGAGGGAGTGGGGTAAAATGACACAGAAAGGTAAGGATAGTATTAGACTAATGACAGTTGCAGAAGAGGAATCAGTCAAGAGCTATTAACAGTTTAAGTGATACGCTTTTATGAAGAAGTGGGGTTTTAACGATTTTTTGAAGGAATGGAGACTGGGTGAGCATCTAACGGAGGAGGGAAGTGAGTTCCACAGGAACGGTGCAGCCCTCGAGAAATCTTGAAGGCGAGTATCAGAGGTGGGAGTACGGACAGAAGATAGACGTAAGTCTTCAGCAGATCGTAAGGGCCTAGACGGGACATACTTGTGTATAAGGTGAGGATAGATAGGTGGGAGCAGCGTTATGTAGTGATTTGAAAGCAAGAACCAGAATTTTAAATTGAGCTCTATATTTTATAGGAAGCCAGTGTAGGGATTGACAGAAGGGTGAGGCATGGGAGGTGCGGGCGGACAGGAAGATGAGCCTTGCCGCCGCATTCATTATGGACTGTAACGGCGCTAGTTGGGAGCACGTAAGACCACTAAGAAGCGGATTACAGTAGTCAAGGCAAGAAAGGACAGTGGAATGGACCAACACCTTAGTTGCATCTGGCGTTAAGAAGGGGCGGATGCGCGCAATGTTTTTTAGATGGAAATGACAGGATTTGGTGATAGATTGAACATGAGGCTTGAAGGAGAGGTCGGAGACAAAGAGAACACCTAGGCAGCGAGCCTGCGTAGTGGAGCTGATGGTAGCACAGTTGACTTAGAGGGAGACAGACACAGGAGTAACAACACTTGAGGGAGGAAAGACCAGAAGTTCAGTTTTGGTCAAGTTTAGTTTGAGGAAGTGGGCAGCCATCCAGTTAGAAACAGCACAGAGGCAGTCAGAGACACTAGTCAAGAGGGAAGGGGAGAGATCAGGAGAGGACAGGTAGATTTGCGTGTCATCAGCATAGAAATTATATTGGAAGCCAAAGGAGCTAATGAGTTTACCAAGGGAGTCAGTATAGATGGAAAACAGTAGGGGACCAAGGACTGAACCTTGGGGGACACCAACAGAGAGGAGTTGGGGAGAAGAAGCAGAGCCAGAGAAAGAAACACTGATAGAGTGCTGGGAGAGGTAGGAGGAGCACCAGGAGAGAGCAGTATCTTGTAGAGCGATATTGCGGAGGATGAGAAGAAGCTGTTGATGATCAACAGTGTCAAAAGCCGCAGACAGGTCAAGGAGAATTAGGATAGAGTAGTGACCACGAGATTTTGCAGCGAGTAGATCATTGGATACTTTGGTCAGTGCTGTTTCCACAGAGTGCTTAGCGCAGAAACCAGACTGAAGCGGGTCTAGCAGAGAGTTGGACTCGAGGAAGTCTGTCAAATTGTCTGTCTAAATCTTTAGAATTGGGGTTACAGTTGCATGTTTGAAGGGCAATGGAAATATACCAGAGGAGAGAGAGAGATTGAGGATTTTAGTGAGAGGTGGAGAAAGAGAAGAAGACAGAGTACAGATGAGATGCGAGGGAATTAGATCTAGGGAGCAGGTGGGGGGCGGGAGGACTGGAGCAGAGCAGAAACTTCTTCCAATGTAGCGGGTGCGAATGAACATAGAACAGCAGAGGGAGTGAAGTTAGGGGAAGTATTGTAAGAGGAAGAAGAAAGATGAGATATCTCTTCTCTGATTGTAGAGATCCTGTCAGTGAAGTGAGTTGCAAAGTCTGAGGTGGTCAAGTTAGTAGGTGGAGGAGGAACAGCAGGGCGAAGAAGAGAGTTAAATGTGTGAAATAGTCGTTTGGGTTCGCGGGAGAGTGTGGTTATGAGGGTATTGAAGTAAGTAACTTTTGCAGAGGAAAGAGCCAAGCTGTATGAGCTCAGCATAAATTTATAGTGGAGAAAGTCAGATGCACAGTGAGACTTTCTCCAACAGCGTTCAGCAGTTCTGGAGCATTTTTGGAGGTATCGAGTGAGCTTGGTGTGCCAGGGTTGTTGTTGGGGGGGCCTGCGGCGTTTAAATGTACAAGGTGCCATGATGTCTAGTTGAGAGGAGAGGGTGGAATTGTAGAAGGAGGTTGCAGAACTAGGACAGGTGAGGTTTGAGATAGGTAAAAGGAGAGTTTGGAGATTAGTGGAGAAATGCTCTAGGTCAAGACATTGGAGGTTTCTGTGAGAGTGATGTTCAGACGGTGGTGTCAATTGGGTCTTAGGTATGCCAATGTCAAAAGTCAGCAGATGGTGGTCAGATAGAGGAAAGGGAATATTGGAGAGATTAGAGGCAGTACAGAGGTTGGTGAAAGCAAGATCAAGAGTGTTTCCCGCTGTATGGGTTGCTAGATTGGACCATTGCGTAAGGCCAAAGGAGGAGGTTACAGAGCGCAGACGAGAGCATCAGTGCAATTGGGGTTATTGATTGGGATATTGAAATCCCCAAGTATAAGGGAAGGAGTGCTAGATGAGAGGAAGTGGGGAAGCCAGGCAGAAAAGTGCTCAATGAATAGTCTAGGATAACCGGGGGGCGGTAGATGGTAGCAATTCTTAAAGGAGTGGGCTTAAATAGGCGGACAGTGTGAACTTCAAAAGAAGAAAAGGATAGGGCAGGAGGAGTTATGATTGGTTGAAAGGTACATTGAGGGGAGAGAAGGATGCCTACGCCGCCTCCTTTACAGTTGAGTCTGGGAGTGTGAGAGAATTGTAGCCCACCAAAACATAAAGAGGCAGGAGTAGCGCTATCACAGGGGGACAGCCAGGTCTCTGTAAGTGCAAGCAGTGTGAGTGATTTTGAGATGAAAAAGTCGTGTATGGTTGTTGATTTTAAATTACTGCAGATGGAGCGGGCATTCCAGCGTGCACAATTAATTTTGGTAAGTGAGGGTAAAGGGCAGGGTATTGTGATGAGGTTTGAGGGGTTTCTGGTTGTCTTAGTGTGTGTAGAGAAGGTGAAGGGCCCTGGATTGGGAGAGACATCACCAGCTGCTAGAAGTAGGAGGAGAGAAAGTGACAGGAGGTGTGAATGGGTTTTGTATGCATGGGGTCTAGGATGAGATCGATTGTGGGTTGGAGTGAGAGAGTAGAAAAATGAGTGTAAGGCATGAGATGAGAGAAGGGGGAGTGTTGCAGAGAAGGGCATATGTAAATGTGCATGGGGGGATGAGTGAAGTGGGTGTAAGGAGAGATTTTTATACTGAGGGAGACTGAGGAAATAAAGAGGAGGAGAAAACAGATCATTGCTAAACTGTGAAAAATAAAAATTGGAGATAATTGGAATATTAAGAGCAGGTGAAGGTGTTTTTGGGTTAAGAAAGTGCAGGAGTGTACTAATAAGAGGCAGGTTTTTTAACCTAACTAAAATGTAGGTGTGACAGACAATCTATAAATGTAATATTGAGCATGGGGTGGGATGGTGTGCTTCAAGTGCTATCATTGGGATGGACTCTAACCTCGTTAAAATTATTGTGGTTTTTCAACTAAGGGTATCTATACATTTATGCTGTTAACCCCTTCAGGACGGAGTCAATAGTACACGTTCTGATCAAAACAAAACGTAAACAAAAACTGGAATTTGCGCTATATGTCTGTTCACCCGTAATTCACCGCTGTCACATTAAGTGCACCCACACTTATTATATATCATTTTGTTCAGGAGAAACAGGGCTTTAATTTATTATTAATTATTCATATATGGAACATCATTTATTATGAATAAAATGTAAAAGATTTTTAGAAAATAAGATTTTTTTTTAATTTGTATTTCTGTCTGACATTTTAGCTGTTAATGTCATAATACTGTTAGGTATTACTGCAAAAAAAATGCACATATTTGTAATCAGCTATGTCTCACGAGTACAACAGTACCCCCCATTAACAGGTTTTATGGTGTTTTGGAAAGTTACAGGGTCAAATATAGAACGTTCCATTTTCAAATTGAGAGACTTCACTAAACACAAATATTAGTGTTTTAAAACAGTAAAACATATTACAACAATAATATAGTCCATAAAAGTGCCGTTTGTTTGTAAAAAATGCAAAAAACGTCACTTTTACTTAAAATATCATTGTTGTAATACAATTTACCAGTTTAAAACACTAATATTTGAGTTCAGCGAAGTCTCCCGAGTAAAACAGTAACCCCTATGAACAGGTTTTATGGTGTCTTGGAGAGTTACAGGGTCAAATATAATGCTTGCGAATTAAATTCTCTGCACTTTCTCCCTGTGTTGTCAGGCATGTCAATCAAATTTTAATTAATCAAATCACATAATTATGTTAAAAGATTACTTAAATATACACGTAGAATTTTAATATAAATGCATTTATAGGTATTTAAATTCTACGTGTATACTAATGTAATCTTTTATGTAATTATATGTAATTATCTATATATATATATTTGCGGTTATTTGTATTTTATATATAGATAGATATATATATAGAATGTCATTTTAAGTGTATTTTGTTACCAATATATACAGTTAGAATGAAATTACATATGAATATATAATTTTAATAAAATTTTGTTTCAATATTTTATTTATTTATTTTATTATTTTATTTATTTATTAATGTAATTATGCGTATATATTTATATAATATATGTGTATATATCTATTATATATATAATATATATACATATTATATATATCTAACATCATTCTAAGTGTATTTTAATACTAATATATATATATACTAATATATATATATGTTTATTTTATTTTTACACATGTTTATTTTATTTTTTTTCATTTCCCACCAGCAGGGGGACTGTCTGATATTTTAGACAGTCCCCCTGCTGGCAGATCCATAGCCGGCTATAGGGGGCCATGTGATCGCTCTTTGTGAGCGATCATATGGCCCCCGGGGGCCTCATTCGCCGTAGGAGGGCTGCCTGGACGGTCAGGCAGCCCTCCAGAAGAAGATCGCGGCGGAGGTAAGTACGCCGGACCTCCCCTGGGCTTAAGCCATTACGGCGTTCTATGCCGCCACAACGGCTTTAAAGCCCTTTAAAGTTGCGACGGCATAGAACGCCGTAATGGCGTTAAGGGGTTAAACAGGTCATGATGCTTCATTGAATCAAGGATTGAGTACATTGGGTTAAGCCCAACCCAACAAGTCAGGAGGTAGACGCTCATTCCCCAGCATCTGTAAAGGAACACGGCAGACCCATAAAGCCCTTTAGTTTACTGAAGTGTTTCATATGGGAAAAATATGTCCTCTTCTTTTTCATTTTATGAAAGGTGCAGTCACTCAAAAGGTCCTGTTACTTCATTGTTGGTTAGTTCACTGGAGCTAAATTCAAAAGGCAGCAATTTCCCAGAACACCTGTTTTTTTCTTGATCAGCAAACAGACAAACAAGATGATCCGTAATAGATAAATATGAAGACCCAGCTCAATTTGAATAACTTCATGTGCTCGATTGACTAACCTAGCAGTGTTCAAGAAAATCAATCAACATAAGACTAGACGACTAATAGATAATTGAGTTGTACATCTGAACGTGGGCAACATTCACATCACCGTGATTGTGTATATATATATATATAAAAATGAAAAAAAGCCTTGCACTCCAACTTACAGTTATTTGACCCGGTGCTTGATTGCACTAA